AAAGATTGTTATTGTTTTTTTAAATTGCTATTTAAAAAAGGAACCCCAAAAGGTTATTTGTGGAACAATTAGTGGGGGTTCTTCGAAGAACTCAGGGGCGCAACTTTCACTGGGGACGGGGAGGGACATACATTCTGAAATTGCATGTTTGTCCCCCCCTCAGTTTTATAATTAGAAAGTGATACAAAATAGGCGAAGGTGTGCTTTAGGACCATGCGGACGCCTCCGAGCGGTCAGGTAGGCTGTTTGGAGTGTTCATCTGACTGGATTTAGGACACCACAGAGCAGGCTGACAGGCTGTGCAAAGGCAAAGATTTTGATCATATTTCATTGTAGGCGTTGCGCTCTTTCACCAATTTGTAAAAGGAACAGAAACTGGCTACTCTAGTTGACTGATGTAGCTGGCAATGTAACTGCTGTTTAACTTAACAGAAAAAAAACGAAAGTAGTATTTATTCACAGTGCTGAGCTAGTATTTTAACTGACATGTAACATTAGCTAATGTTTCATCCCCTCTGGACTGAGGTGAATGAGGTGAATGAATAAGCTACGCTAGTGAGTAGCTACCACAGCTAGGTCAGCTCTAGCCTCTAGTTATCTGGCAGATAATAATAATAGCCACCTCATATCGCTATCTACCAGCAGTTGTTTGTATGGACATGTTTTGTAGCCTTTGTTTTGTCATGTTTCAGAAGTAAATGAACTTGGCAAGCTTTCGCCAGTTGATGTACTGTTAGAGAGAGAGAGAGAGCTGTCCAAAAGTTGGCTTACATTAGCTATTATTTTTGCCTCAATCAAACTAGACCTGAATCAAAAGATGAAACCATCGGCCAAACGATTGAAGGTTGATATTCTGACGTTTTTTTAGTGCAACGTGAGTTGTATTAGTCAGTATGTCAATGTAACGTTATTGATCTGTCAGTTTCCCTCGCTAATTCCCTACTTTTCACAGACACAGCAATAAACAGATCTAAAGTTACAGGCGTCACTGTCATAGTGCACAGTAGAGGTCTGCGGGACTGATTTCTTCATCCCGCTCCCGCCCGCATACGCTGGCATTCTGTCCGACTCCAACCCGTTACAGCAAGAACTCGTCCCAAACCCAACCGCAGTCCCGCAATGTTATTTTAGGCGTATGTGACGCAGCTCACTTGCCAGCAATTTTGCGCCCTATTGGCAATATCAAATGCGCAAAAATAACTTAAGAAAATTTTTCAATTACCTGATATTCTCACATGGTCCTTATATTACTGGGCTATATCAGCCAATTTGCTCGGCCCGTGTAGCTCAGTTGGTAGAGCTTGCAACGCCAGGGTTGTGGGTTCGTTTCCCACGGGGGGCCAGTATGAAAATGTATGCAATCACTAACTGTAAGTTGCTCTGGGTAAGAGCGTCTGCTAAAATGACTCAAATGTAAAATGTAATGCTAGATGTAGTTTGAAGAAAGCAGAATTGGAGAGACTTGCACTTTCTCTTGAGCTATTTGTATAGCCTACCTTTTAGGAGTGGGAAGCTTTTCAGACGGAGAAATATGGGTGATCAATATTTAGGCCTATTTCTAGGCAATGTAGTAAACTATAGCCTAATCATTTAATTGAGACCACACGCGCAGCTGATCTCGCAGGTATGGCTACTGAATTTGAGGCATCAAGAATTATGACAGCGACACTTGCTACGTTTTGCATAGTCCTATAGGATATAGCCATGGCGCTTGTAACGCCAGGGTAGTGGGTTCGATCCCCGGGACCACCCATACGTAAAAATGTATGCGCACATGATTGTAAGTCGCTTTGGATAAAAGCGTCTGCTAAATGGCATATTATTATGATTACATTTTATGATTGCGCTTCGACTCACGTTGGTTGAGCGCCCTCCACTTATTTTCATTATATCAATATTTATTTACAGACACTGTAGTAAACTAAAGTCTAATCATATTTTAGTTAATTTCATATTCAAGTTAACTGCCACGTGATTCTCCGCAATTCAGTCCCAGCAGCAGCCGGACAAGTGGAAAGAGACGATAGATATGGGTACTCTTTTATTCCAACAGCCATTAGGCTGTATAATAGTCTGTTGGTCCCTCGAGTATACAGCATATTGCACTTTCACTTAAATTGTGTAGCTATAGCACTTTGAATGAATTATTTTGTGTAGTTTCTGTGTTTTCATGTTTTATGTACTGTCTTTTTAAGCACATGACCAAATGAATTTCCCCCTGGTGGGATAATAAAGTTGATCTGAATCTGAAGTTGAAGCAGAGAATTCTGAGTGTGTGAATAATGCGAAAAATATGTGCTTTTAATACAATCGGTAGGCTAACGCATACAAAGCAGAAAGAGGACCGTTTTAAAATAATCTGTGGGAAAACACAAATATTTTCATCATAAAGTAGTCTGTCTGACCGCCCGCTCCCGGCTGCAGCATGACAAATGCCGACCGCGACGCAATTATCTCTGTCGGGATCCGCAGGTCCCGCAGTCATCCCGGGGAACTGCAGCCCTCTAGTGCAGTCAGTACACACCACTATGCTCATCATGTTTTAGCAGGATCAGATTGTGACAGGGGTCCCAGCAGGGTCAGACAGCCAGGGAAGACCCGTCTACGGAGGTCAGGTGAATTTTGCAGTATATTTAGTGAATGATACAAAGTTCCATCTTGAATTGATGGGTAGACCCACTGTAGCTACAGAACAGCACCTTAAGCTTAAAGCTATTGATGATGATGAATGGATACAGATATGTTAGAATGCCCAGTCATGTTCATATAATCTCAGACATAAATTACTGCAGTTTAAGACCATCCATAGAACGTACTATATGCCAGTGAAACTGAATATCATGCACTCAGAAATTATATTATTCTGCTGGAGGTGAAAATCACAAAAGGGGACCTATGTTGTGGTCTTTTGAAGGCTGGCTGAATTCTGGCAAAGAGTATGTTCTTTTATCTCAGAATGTCTACAGATTCTCTCTTCTCCCTGTTTTTGTTTGCTTGGAAATGTTGATACTGGAGACTGTTATCAGAAGACTCTGTGTAACCTAGCATTTATAGTGGCTAATAAATGCATTGCTATTAATTGGAAGTTTGGTTATCCTCCCACAATGTATGGAAGAAATGTCAAGTTATGTACAGTATCACTAGATTTGTTTTAAGATTAAGGGTGTACTGTGCAACTTTCATATGCCTTATATGGAATACTGTACGACAAAAGGAGTCTGTGTGTTAATGTTTAGGTGTATGTGTGTTTTCATTCAACTTTTGTTTTCCAAACATAAAAAAAAAGATGGGAAGGAAGTTGTGTTGGGGAGAGATTTGAGTTATTGACTAGACCGGTGGGGGTCGGGCGTGTAAGCCCTCGGGTTGGCTGGGCAGTCTGGCTGAAATTTGATATAGAGGATGTCTTAAAGACAGTCAGAAGTTGTCTTTGTACTTTATTTGTAAGAGTTGTTCATTTGTTAAGCTATTGGTTAAAGGTGCAACACAATATTGATTATTTAATTATCATGGATCTAGTTCAGTCTTATCAATCACTTAAACATATTTAATAATCTCTTTCCTAGCTTGATGACTGTGGGCATTTTTGCATACTTTTTGTTCTAAATAGAGACGGCTAGAAGGGCCATGGGTCATATTAGATTGTGTAGAAATGCAGGAAATTAGCTTTAGATGCCCCCAAAAATGGGAGGGCCCCCAGACCCGCTGCCAAGTTATGTCCCCCTCTGCAAATAGCACTGCTGGGGGATTAAAAAAGTTATAGCCAATCGATCAATAATATAATAATACTCTTAGCAAATATGTTTATTTTTAATTTACAATTTACAAACGTTTTGTAAAATCACAGCACAGTTGAAAAATATATATATATGGCAAAACTGGATGCTGTTCAGAGATAGATGGGAGGGGTTGAGTGGAGCTGAAGGATGGGACTAAAAACAAACAAAAGATAACTATTGTAACATATACTGTGTCTGTAAAATGTATATATTATGTATAAGCTGGAAGTAGAAGCCTAAGTGTTGTTGTCCATGAGTTTACTCCAATTAGGGGAGGGATGGTAGGGTTAGGGGAAAATAATAAAGGAAAATATATTTAAAATATATATATATATATATATATATATATATATATATATATATATATATATTTACAAAAATATATATGGAGGATTGGAAATGATGCAGACAATTACATTGATGGAAGCCACAATCTATCTGCAATATTAAAGCTGATCTACCCCCTAAAAATATATATATATTATGTCCCCCACACTTCTAAAACCAAAGTTGCGCCCCTGTAGAACTTATAGGGGTTCCCCCACAGTTTAATTTTGAAGAACACCTAGCAGGGGTATTCAACTCTTACCTTAGGAGGTCCGGAGCCTGCTGGTTTTCTGTTCTACCTGATAATTAATTGCACACACCTGGTGTCCCAGGTCTAAATCAGTCCCTGATTAGAGGGGAACAATGAAAAAATGCAGTGGAACTAGCTTTGAGGTCCAGAGATGAGTTTGAGGGCCCTAAAGGATCCTTTTATTTTTAGAGTGAGTTGAAAATGGGATGGAAACCCATTTAACTTGTCTTTTTTATCCAGTACATGGGAATGTAATAACCGCAAAATGTATTTTTATGTGCGCTTTGTCATCACTCATAGCCCTTTATCTGCAACAAGTCCATTTGATGGAAACATCCTGGTGAGAAAATGCGCATATTGTTTTTAATGCAGATTTTAGAATATTCGCATGAAAATCTGACGCCAATTGGATGGAAACCTAGCTAGTGACAATTTATTTTGCCTCCTTCCTGCATTCAGTCAGTATAATTTCAGCACTATCATCAAAGACAGTACAGTATGGTTTAGAAACTCTGCGCTATCATGATGTAAATGTATCCAGTTATGATTTTATTTGGAACATTTCATAAAAAAACATACACCTCGATGGGCGCGCCTCTGATTGGAGGCTTGTGAACTCCACATAGCCCCTCCTCCAGTCTGGTTTTCTGGAAATCCCCGGAACGCACGCTTTTCACTGGAAAACAATATTTTGCTTTCTAGCTGCTACAGAGTTGCTGTTTCTTCGACATTTTTGCATTGACAGAGAACCAAGGTGCTGCAAGAAAATATTAATCACAGGGAGGCGAGGTATACATCCATATTGACATTATTTAAGACAGCGTAGGATATTATTTTTTAGTCAATAAAAGTTTGTGGCGGTCGTCGATCGGAGATTCCAACGCAGCCAGCCAAGCTCTTACAGCTGAGCTAGCTAGGTAACGTTAGCGTTAAGTTGAGCTAGTTGAAGTTTGTGCATCTTGTATAAATAAATATGTAACTACTACATATTGTAGGTAGTTATTATATGACATGGGATTTCGATGATTGATGATCACGAGTCGCTTACTTTTTCGACTGTTTTGAGTGGCTACTGTACCTAACTAACGTTAGCTAATTTAGGACATGCTAGACCGGCACTGACTTGTACAATATTTTATTTAACGCGTTAGTCCCACGTAAAATATTTAAGACGACTAGGTAGCAAGCTGTTTATTCACTCAGAAGGAACTTTTAATTCAGAATTGAATGTAATTCGTTCAGTAACTAACTTGCTAGATGATGCAATGTTGTAATAATATCGAACTTTAGCGAGCTAACGTTAGCTATACAACGTCAAATTTGTTTTTGAAACCCCAACTAGTCAACATTTGTAACGCCAACACGAGTAGGGTAGTTTGTTAAATATGCAAAACTGTCCTTCAACTTTTCGAGTTAGTTATAGATTTTAGATTAAGTATTTATTGATAACACGTAGGGTAGTTACCTAGGCACTTGATCAACAAAGATTAGCCCAATACCGTGACACCAGTTCTCACCTAGCTAACTATTAGCCTACACAACTCTTACTGAAATACTGTATCTTATAATTGCCAACCGAGTCAAAGTCATTACCAGAGCAGTCTGTACTTTGACCCAATTCTTGTCTTTATGAACCAGAACCCTCCCGCTGCTTTCTTCTCCACATCTTCTGGGCTGCATTCCAGCGGCACATGTCCCCTTCTGCTTTCATTTCAAAGCCACCGGTCCCCCTTTCACCACACTTTCCCACCTGTCACCACACTTTCCCACCTGTCACCCCTTCACCACACTTTCCCACCTGTCACCCCTTCACCACACTTTCCACAGGTACCCCCTTCACCACACTTTCCCACCGGTCCCCCATAGCTACAACAACTAGTAATGATTTTGTTTAACTAATCACATGGGTGTTCTCTCTCTCTCCTAGATCGGATCGCCTTTCTTCATCTCCTGCCTTGTGTCCCTGTGTCGAGTCCTCTCCTCCTCCCATCGGTCCAGTGAGCAGTTGAGAGAATGAATGGATACAGGATGGAAGAGCAGGAGTTGAGCTTCACCATGAGCCAGGGGTCCTTCCAGCAGCTTTGGGAGACCAAGTAAGTTTTGAACAACCTTTAGGACCCACAGATCTGGGGAAGGGTACCAAAACATTTATGCAGCATTGAAGGTCCACAAGAACGCAGTGGCCTCCATCATTCTGAAATGGAAGAACCACAAAGACTCTTCCTAGAGCTGGCCGCCCGGCCAAACTGAGCAATCGGGGGAGAAGGTCCTTGGTCAGGGAGGTGACAAAGAACCTGATGGTCACTCTGACAGAGTTCCTCTGTGGAGATGGGAGAACCTTGCAGAAGGACAACCATCTCTGCAGCAAGCCACCAATCAGGCCAGACGGAAGCCTCTCCTCAGTAAAAGGCACATGACAGCCCGCTTGGAGTTTGCCAAAAGGCACCTAAAGGACTCTGACCATGAGAAACAAGATTCTCTGGTCTAATGAAACCAACATTGAACTCTTTGGCCTGAATGCCAAGCGTCATGTCTGGAGGAAACCTGGCACAATCCGCATGGTGGTGGCAGCATCATGCTGTGGGGATGTTTTTCAGCGGCAGGGACTGGGAGACTAGTCAGGATCGAGGGAAAAATGAACAGACTTACATAATTATGTTTAGGACTACCAATGTAGCTACTTCTAGACTTAAGACTGGACAGAGATGGTTGTGTGTGAGTGGCAGCCTAGAGACTTTGTATAATGTATTACAGCACCTCTTCTACATTTAGGTAATAATTAGTTGCACTGTGATTTGTATCTCCTTTCTTTAGCATGACTACTCGGGGGCCCAATATTCCACCGTTGGTGACTGAAAACTGGTCTGACCTGGATGTCTCGGTAAGTTTGTTTGTCTACATCCTGAATCTTTTTATGAAACCACACCTTTTAGAATGGGCTAGATGGTTTCTCCCCCTTTTTAGTAGTGCATTGATTGTTTGACTTTTACTAGAATTTTTTGGTTGTGCTTTTGTCGGACAATTTGATATCCAAACATGGTTAGCCTGGACACTCCTCTTTTTCAGTGTTCAGACAGAAATCCAAAAAAGCAACTGATAACTTAATAAATGGCATGCGTTTACCTCCCTTACAGCTCCCTCCCGTCCTTCCCGAGGCCACCTTCCACGAGAACTTTGACGAGGGGCTGTTTGAGCTGCCGGAGCCCCTTGCCGTGGAGCCCTCGGTGTCGCCCCTGGACAGTGTGCCTCCCCCTACCTCCACCGTCCCCTCCAACATCGACTACCCGGGGGAGCACGGCTTCGAGCTGCGCTTCCACAAGTCTGGCACCGCCAAGTCGGTCACCTCGACCGTGAGTGTCATGCATAGTCACTGCACATGCCTAAATATGCTGGTGTTAAAAGCACTAATAGTCTATGCTACTTGTAAGCCATAAGCAAAGTCTTGAGCTGTCGAAAGGGACTACTAGTAGGCCTTACTGAGGTATTGGAGCCACATTTCACTTCCCCCAAGTCATGCTTTTTAGAATGACTCTTTTAAAATGTTGCTGTTGATCTCCTGTAACCCACATAAAGCATAAGAGAATGTGTTTTCAATGTAATCTTCTTTTGACCCTCAATATGAACAGGAACTGTTTCCTGTTACAGCTAAGTCTTAACCCTTTACACTCGTACCCATATGGGTTGAAAATGGCAGATTTGGGCGTTTAATAAGCACCTAAAATGGAATGCAGTGGCTGTACAGTAACGGCGCTGTATGGGTTTTGACTGACAGACGTTCTGAACTTGAGCGCTGCATGCGACGACATTGCCCTCATCCCTCCCGCTAATTGGGCAACTTTAGCACATTTTTTGTTGTCTGATTGAGGGAAATGCTGTAAATGAAGGGGACTCTTATGTATTTTGAAAGATGACGTTGAGGATTATAATGAATACCCCTTTGATGTCATACATGCAAGCAAAACACCTGCGAGTCCAAATGTGCACTTCACATTTGTGTCATAAAACTCAAGTCATATACAGTGTCAACATTGTTTGATATAGTTACAAGATGACATGGTGCCACGTTTTCCAGGAATATTTTAATCATGTTACTGAATGTATCCAGAGTATTTTCAGATTTGTTTTAATCAACTAATGTGGTGAAAAGTACAGTAAATGTAAAATTAACAGTGTAATGTTTGGATTCAGTCTTGTTGGGTGAGTTGTTTTGTCCTCAACTTTGGTCTAATAATTTTCACAATCTCCAAACTGTTCCCTTTCAATTGCTACCATGCTTATGCATTTCATGGTCCTCTGTAGCTCAATTGGTTGAGCATGGCGCTTGTAACGCCAGGGTAGTGGGTTCGATCCCCGGGACCACCCATACGTAAAAATGTATGCACACATGACTAAGTCGCTTTGGATAAAAGCGTCTGCTAAATGGCATATTATTATATTTCTTCTGTAAGAAACATTTCAATGTAGCCCTATCCATATAGAGCAGTTCCCACGAGTGTAAAGGGTTAAACAGCACTGCAATAGGAATGAGACACGACCTACCATGCTGTCCCACCCTTTGAGAAGCCCAGTCTAACTGTACATTCACTGTGTGTATATATATGTGTGTGTGTGTGTGTATATATATATGTATGTATGTGTGTATATATATATATATATATATATATATATATATATATATATATTACTCACTCACTCATCTTTCAATTTGATGAACATAACTTTAGAATGACTTAAATGTTTTATGCTGCATTTTCTCCTGGATGAAACAATACTTTTTTATGAATAGATTTATCAGAATGATAATTAATAGTAAGATTGTGTAAAACCTGTTTAATCTATGGTCTCATTTCAATCAATTACAGTAAATTGTGGTTACCTTACCTCAGACGCAAGGTTTTGGCGAAAGTATTTGGTTTCCACGGCGACTCACATGCCAGCGTGCTATGATATGTCTATCAGACTTGTTTTTAGGTGCGCTGCCCTCAAATGAACGCCCCCTGCAACTCATTCATTGGAACCATAGACTTAGATGGACATCGCATCATTGTATCTGTCCCATTATGGCGTCTGAGAGCACAGACAGCGCCATTGAGGCCATCTCCATTTTAAAGTAGTACATTTTCTTCTACTACTTCTAGTTGGCAAACAAACTGAAAGAGTGCACACTGCCACCTAGAGTGTGTTTATTAGGACAGGTATAAAGCCATGGTTGGTGATTTTACTGCCATCTACACTTATGGAATGTTTCCTCAAGTATAATTCAGTGGCTGATCCCTCCTGGTGACCTGGATGGAATGATGTGATCCTTCCTTAACCCATAGGACAGGGGTCATCAACTAGATTGAGCTGCGGGCAGTTTTTTTCTTTTTCTAAAAAAATTTCTTGAGCGAATGGTCGGGGGGCTGTAACATATTTACAAATTAATTTGTTGACTGAAAATTGACTGCAAGAAGCCCAAAGTGGATAATATTTTACTTAAACATAATAATTTCAAACCTTGCTTACATTTGTATACGATCACGTGTCTCTTATGCGTGGGAATATTGTTTTTTGCTCGGAACTTAGGTGGTCAAATACAACCATTTGGCCGCGGGCTGCAAGTTGGGGAACCCTGCCATAGGAAGTCCCACCCAGTTGACTATTAAAATGGTGAAAGTCCTCAATGGTGCTGCCCATGCTGAAATGGGCGTTTGGGCAATAGTCTTCTATCTCTATGATTGGAACTGAGGAGTTGCAGGCTGGTTGCAGTAAAGCATGGGTCTGACATGACTGGGCATGTTTCACACAAGGGCTCCAGCATGGAAAGGGTTAAAACGCAGCTGTTTCGGTCCAAAATTATAGTTAAAAGGGTATTTATAATTTCTTTAGAATATAACTGTAAAACAATATTTTGTTCTTATTAATTCCTATGGGTGTTTTTCCCACTTTGCTTTTGTATTTGTTGTATGAACTTTGATAGTGACATGCTGCCTGAGAAGTAATTGAGCAAGTACCTATTTTTTTTCATAAATTCAATTCACATCTTTATTCTTTCACAAAGGGAAATTCCTCATGGACAAATACTGATTGCTCACTTTTCCTCCCTCCCCAGTATTCTGTGCAGCTGATCAAGCTGTACTGCCAGCGGGCTAAGACCTGCCCGGTGGAGGTGCTGATGGCCAAGGAGCCCCCGCTAGGAGCCATCCTCCGTGCCACAGCCATCTACAAGAAGTCAGAGCACATGTCCGAAGTGGTCAGCCGCTGCCCCCATCACCAGAGCACCTCAGACAACAATGAAGGTGTGTGTTTTTAGTCTTGAGGTAAAAATTCAAAAGTGAGGTAGATAATTGGTCATTTGCCCATGTTGAGAGTTAAGCAGGCTGATACAATTTCTCACTAGGTTCATTAGGTTGTAAAGAATGAACATGCAGAATTCTGGGGGAATCTGGTGGAGTGACCTGATTTGTCTTAACTGTATGATTAAGCTTATTTTGGCCAAACAGATTGTGAACCCAAATGTGTAACTGATTCTAGGGTGAGGACAATACATTCATTGAAAGATAATTTGGGTTAGGTGTAGGGGCAGATTTGGGCTATGTCATCTTGTTTTCAGGAAATTGTATTAGCAGTTTAATTAATTTGGTCTTTCACAATAGCTAATGTAAGTAATTAGAACAATTCCCAACCCCTACAATGATGGATGTTCATTTGATTTTTGTTGAATGTGGGATAATTTGTAAAAATCAAATGTCATATGAACATATTCAAACCCCCAGTATTTAGGAAACGTAGATCAGGGTTGGCCAACCATCTTGATGAGCTACCGGTAGGTCCTATTTTAAAGGAATAGTCCACCCAAACGAATTACATATTTACATGTTTGTTTCTTATAGAAAAGGAAAGACTGCAATCCATCCTATGGTTAGCCACTGCCACCGACCGGTAATATTAGCATTTCTAACCGAAAACCAATGTACTTCAATGTCCCCCAGCATGCCCAAATAATCTCAAAGTAACTTCAAACCAAATTGTCGAATTTTGAGTGTGTATTCAACTTTAAAATAATCCTGAATGCACCAGACCTGTGATTAAAAAAATTAATAAATATTCCACCCTGGTCATGTGAAAATATGTAGAATTGCAGGAAATTAGCTTTAAAACGGAATCTTCCTGTGGGAGGTCCCCTCAGACACCTTGACACCCCAGCCTGGGTTGGCGCCAATGACATTCACAGGAGGAAATCTCACTGCAAACTGTCTTCTAAAGTTGTCAGCCCTACAAGGCATAATTTCCCCCTCATGTAAAAGATGGTCCCTGGATGTTCTGAGAGGAGTCTCTTCCCCCCCCCCCCCCCCCCTCACTTCCTGTCTACTTCCTGTTTCCTGTCAGGTGTGGCCCACCGCAGTCACCTGATCAGGGTGGAGGGGAGCCAGCGGGCTCAGTACCTGGAGGACAGCAACACCAAGCGTCAGAGCGTGCTACTGCCCTACGAGCCTCCTCAGGTATACCCCCCTTCCTCTGGTCTCCTGTATTCGTTTTATTATGAAATCATAATTTTATTTGCCACTTTGCTTGACACTTTCACCTGTCTATAATGCATTGAAAATGTGCATGTACACTACTGTTCAAAAGTTTGGGGTCACTTAGAAATGTCCTTGTTTTCCATGAAAACATACATGAAATGAGTTTGAATAGGAAATATAGCAAAATGCATAGGAAATGTAGTCCTTGACAAGGTTAGAAATAATGTTTTTTTTAATAGAAATAATAATTGTGTCCTTCAAACTTTAGCTTTTGTCAAAGAATCCTCCATTTGCAGCAATTACAGCCTTGCAGACCTTTGGCATTCTAGTTGTCAATTTGTTGAGGTAATCTGAAGAGATTTCACCCCATGCTTCCTGAAGCACCTCCCACAAGTTGGATTGGCTTGATGGGCACTTCTTACGTACCATACGGTCAAGCTGCTCCCACAACAGCTCAATAGGGTTGAGATCCGGTGACTGTGCTGGCCACTCCATTATAGACATAATACCAGCTGACTGCTTCTTCCCTAAATAGTTATTGCACAGTTTGGAGCTGTGCTTTGGGTCATTGTCCTGTTGTAGGAGGAAATTGGCTCCAATCAAGCGCTGTCCACAGGGTATGGCGTTGCAAAATGGAATGATGGCCTTCCTTCTTCAAGATACCTTTTATACTGTACAAATCTTCCACTTTACCACCACCAAAGCACCCCCAGACCATCACATTGCCTCCACCATGCTTGACAGATGGCATCAAGCACTCCTCCAGCATCTTTTCATTTGGTCTGCGTCTCACAAATGTTCTTCTTTGTGATCCGAACACCTCAAACTTCGATTCATCTGTCCATAACACTTTTTTCCAATCTTCCTCTGTCCAGTGTCTGTGTTCTTTTGCCCATCTTTTCTTTTTATTGTCCAGTCTGAGATATGGCTTTTTCTTTGCAACTCTGCCTAGAAGGTCAGCATCCCGGAGTCGCCTCTTCACTGTTGACGTTGAGACTGGTGTTTTTCGGGTACTATTTAATTAAGCTGCCAGTTGAGGGACCTGTGAGGCGTCTGTTTTTCAAACTAGACACTTAATGTATTTGTCCTCTTGCTCAGTTGTGCCCCGGGGCCTCCCACTCCTCTTTCTATTCTGGTTAGAGCCAGTTTGCACTGTTCTGTGAAGGGAGTAGTACGCAGCGTTGTACGAGATCTTCAGTTTCTTGGCAATTTTTCGCATGGAATAGCCTTCATTTCTCAGAACAAGAATAGACTGACGAGTTTCAGAAGAAAGTTATTTGTTTCTGGCCATTTTGAGCCTGTAATCGAACCCACAATTGCTGATGCTCCAGATGCTCAACTAGTCTCAAGAAAGCCAGTTTTATTGCTTCTTTAATCAGCACAACAGTTTTCAGCTGTGCTAACATAATTGCAAAAGGGTTTTCTAATGATCAATTAGCCTTTTAAAATGATAAACTTGGATTAGCAAACACAACGTGCCATTGGAACACAAGAATGATGGTTGCTGATAATGAGCCTCTGTACGCCTATGTAGATATTCCATTAAAAATCAGCCGTTTCCAGCTACAATAGCCATTTACAACATTAACAATGTCTACACTGTATTTCTGATCAATTTGATGTTATTTTAATGGACAAAAAAATTGCTTTTCTTCCAAAACAAGGACATTTTGTAAGTGACCCCAAACTTTTGAACGGTAGTGTATGTTTAAGTGAATCTTCACTTTGTGTATGTGTTTGTATAGCTGGGCTCCGAGGCAACTACTGTTCTCCTGAACTTCATGTGCAACTCCAGTTGCATGGGTGGTATGAACCGACGGCCCATTCTCACCATCCTGACCCTGGAGACCCAGGAGTAAGTCTCTCTCCTTTTCCCTTCTCATTGTGTTTGTTCATACTGGAAAATATTTTTCTGAGTCTCGTCCTTATTTGTGTGCGTATATACACTACCAGTCAAAAGTTTGGACACCTACTCATTCAAGGGTTTTTCTTTTATTTCTACTATTTTTTACATGGTAGAATAGTGACGACATCAAAACTATGAAATAACACATATTGAATCATGTAGTAACCAAAATGTTATATTTGAGATTCTTCAAATAGCCACCCTTTGCCTTGATGACAGCTTTGCACACTCTTAGAATTCTCTCAACCAGCTTCATGAGGTAGTCACCTGGAATGCATTTCAATTATCAGCTGTGCCTTAAGTTAATTTGTGGAATTTCTTTCCTCCTTAATGCATTTGAGCCAATCAGTTGTTGTGACAAGGTAGGGGGGGGTATACAGAAGATAGCCTTATTTGGTAAAAGACCAAGTCCATATTATGACAAGAACAGCTGAAATAAGCAAAGAGAAACGACAGTCCATCATTACTTTAAGACATGAAGGTCAGTCAATACCGAACGTTTTCTTCAAGTGCAGTCGCAAAAACCATCAAGCGCTATGATGAAACTGGCTCTCATGAGGACCACCACAGGAATGGAAGACCCAGAGTTACCTCTGCTGCAGAGGATAAGTTCACTAGTTACCAGCCTCAGAAATTGCAGCCCAAATAAATGCTTCAGAGTTCAAGTAACAGACACATCTCAGCATCAACTGTTCAGAGGGGACTGTGTGAATCAGGCCTTCATGGTTGAATTGCTGCAAAGAAACTACTACTAAAGAACACCAATAAGAAGATGAGACCTGCTTGGGCCAACAAACACAAGCAATGGACATTAGACCGGTGGAAATGTGTGCTTTGGTCTGGAGTCCAAATTTGAGATTTTTGGTTCTAACCGCTGTGTCTTTGTGAGATGTGGTGTGGGTGAACGGATGATCTCCACATCTGTAGTTCCCACCATGAAGCATGGAGGAGTTGTGATGGTGTGGGGGTGCTTTGCTGGTGACACTGTCTGTGATTTTATTTAGAATTCAAGGCACACTTAACCAGCATGGCTATCACAGCATTCTGCAGCGATACGCTATTCCATCTGATTTGGGCTTAGTGGGACTATAATTTGTTTTTCAACAGTACAATGACCCAACACCCCTCCAGGCTGTGTAAGGGCTATTTTACCAAGAAGGAGATTGATGGAGTGCTGCATCAGATGTCCTGGCCTCCACAGTCCCCCGACCTCAACCCAATTGAGATGAGTCGGAAAAGCAGCCAACAAGTGCTCAGCATATGTGGGAACTCCTTCAAGAGTGTTGGAAAAGCATTCCAGGTGAAACTGGTTGAGAGAATGCCAAGAGTGTGCAAAGCTGTCATCAAGGCGAAGGGTGGCTATTTGAAGAATCTCAAATATAAAATATAAACTCAGCAAAAAAAGAAACGTCCCTTTTTCAGGACCTGGTCTTTCAAAGATAATTCATAAAAATCCAAATAACTTCACAGATCTTAATTGTAAAGGGTTTAAACACTGTTTCCCATGCTTGTTCAATGAACCATAAACAATTAATGAACATGCACCTGTGGAACGGTCGTTAAGACACTAACAGCTTACAGACGGTAGGCAATTAAGGTCACAGTTATGAAAACTTAGGACACTAAAGACGCCTTTCTACTGACTCTGAAAAACACCAAAAGAAAGATGCCCAGGGTCCCTGCTCATCTGCGTGAACGTGCCTTAGGCATGCTGCAAAGAGGCATGAGGACTGCAGATGTGGCCAGGGCAATAAATTGCAATGTCCGTACTGTGAGATGCCTAAGACAGCGCTACAGGGAGACAAGACGGACAGCTGATCATCCTCGCAGTGGCAGACCACTTGTAACAACACCTGCACAGGATCGGTACATCCGAACATCACACATGCGGGACAGGTACAGGATGGCAACAACAACTGCCCGAGTTACACCAGGAATGCACAATCCCCCCATCAGTGCTCAGACTGTCCGCAATAGGCTGAGAGAGGCTGGACTGAGGGCTTGTAGGCCTGTTAGGCAGGTCCTCAGCAGACATCACCGGCAACAACCTCTCCTATGGGCACAAACCCACCATCGCTGGACCAGACAGGACTGGCAAAAAGTGCTCTTCACTGATGAGTCACGGTTTTGTCTCACCAGGGGTGATGTTTGGATTCGCGTTTATCGTCGAAGGAAAGAGCGTTACACCGAGGCCTGTGCTCTGGAGCGGGATCGATTTGGAGGTGGAGGGTCCGTCATGATCTGGGGGCGGTGTGTCACAGCATCATCGGACACCTCCTCCCTCATGTGGTACCCTTCCTGCAGGCTCATCCTGACATGACCCTCCAGCATGACAATACCACCAGCCATACTGCTCGTTCTGTGTGTGATTTCCTGCAAGACAGGAATGTCAGTGTTCTGTCATGGCCAGCGAAGAGCCCGGATCTCAATCCCATTGAGCATGTCTGGGACTTTTTGGATCGGAGGGTGAGGGCTAGGGCCATTCCCCCTAGAAATGTCTGGGAACTTGCAGGTTCCTTGGTGGAAGAGTGGGGTAACATCAGTGGGGTAACATCTCACAGCAAGAACTGGCAAATCTGGTGCAGTCCATGAGGAGGAGATGCACTGCAGTACTTAATGCAGCTGGTGGCCAGATCCTGACTGTTACTTTTTGATTTTGACCCCCCCCCCCCCCTCAATTTCTGTTAGTCACATGCCTGTGGAACTTGTTCAGTTTGTCTCAGTTGTTGAATCTTGTTTATGTTCATACAAATATTTACACATGCTGAAAATAAACGCAGTTGACAGTGAGAGGACATTTATTTTGATTTGTTTAACACTTTTTGGGTTACTACATGATTCCGTATGTGTTATTTCATAGTTTTGATGTCTTCACTATTATTCTACAATGTAGAAAATAGTAAAAATAAAGAAACCCTTGAATGAGAAGGTGTTCTAAAACTTTTGACTGGTACTGTATGTCAAGCATTCGCTTTTCTGTGGGGGTAAAAGTTTGAGTTCGCTTTACATCTGCGATAATGTGTTTGGGTCCCCTTGAGTTTGTTCCCCCTAACTCTCACTATTCTCCACTCCTCTCTGTCTAGAGGTCAGGTTTTGGGTCGCCGTTGTTTTGAAGTCCGAGTCTGTGCCTGCCCTGGCCGGGACCGCAAGACCGAGGAAGAGAACGCAAACAAAGCTCGAAACGGGACCAAGAACACCAACGGCACCAAGAGAAGTAAGACTGGGGCCACGTCCCAACACTATTAACACTGTCTCCTATGTCTTTGTTGACGTTGTCTCCTCTCCCGTCAGAGTCCCAACAGGCCCTGCCGCCTCCGGGAACCAGTAAGAAGATCAAGAGCGGCTCTAGCACTGAGGATGAAGACAAGGACAATGTATTCTTGTTGCAGGTGGGGGAATCTCACACACGCAGGCCAACAGACACTTTTTGGAGGGAGAATTTGTGTATCTCTACTTCATGGTTGTGACAAGGTGCCCATTTAAAATTCCCTCCCTTTCGCTCAGGTTTGTGGAAGACAGCGCTATGAGTGGCTCAAGAAGATCAATGATAGTCTGGAGCTGATGGACCACGTTCCTCCCGCTGAGCAGGAGAAATACAAGAAGAAAGGGTAAGCTACCAACGGCAGACAATTGATGACGAAATTCTCCCTAAAATGCACCTGTCCCACTTATGTGCATTACTCCCTCATTTCCCCCCACATCTATCACCTTTAACATACTTTTTGTCCTCTCAATTCTAAAATAGTCTCATATTCGGTGTTTGTCCTGTATTTGTCTTTCTCAGTTCCCCAAAGAGCCTCAAGCAGGATGCATTGGCCCCAAAGAGCGGAAAGAGGATGGTTACAAAGGAAGAGAGGAGCGACTCTGACTAAGGCCAGGACACCTCAGCCCTTCCTCTGCTGTCTATTCCAGACCAACATTAAATTGTGACTGCAAAGTAAATGCCCAATACCAAAACCTAGGCCCTACATGTAGGCACTTCTTACAAGTCTGAAAGGATAGGTGTTAGCAAGATGGTAATAGCTCCACCTAGGCCATACTCAACAGGCGGACCGCGGTCCGGACCCAGTCTATGGTCAATATGGACCTCGGGTCCCCCCCCACACACACACACACACGGCAAAATGTGTAGAATTGCAGGAAATGAACTTTAAATCTACAAAAAAATGTCTCCGCCCCATCGCAAAATGTGTGGAATTGCAGGAAGTTAACTTTAAAACTACAACATCTTCTCTCTGCCAACGAGGGGTGTGAATAGTTTGGGGTTACATGGGTTGCAAGGTGGGGTTTTGTTACTACACTGATCAATGACAATATCCATCCGGACCTTTGCCAACTAGGAAATGTATGTTACCGGACCTTCTCATAGTACATATTTCAGATGCCAATCACTTTCGGTACAACAGTGTGTAAATGTAGGGCCTAGGGTTTGGTTTGGAATTATGTAAATAACCTAAGACCCCCCCCCCCCCCCACTGTCTTAACCATCTGGTGGGAATTCATCCTCACCTGCCCCCCCAAACAGCACTTTAGGTTGTGCTTTTATGATTTGGACCAATTAAAACTAGTAGTCATATCTTGACCTGCCTAGCCACGATACTTTGTTACCAGTTAATTGGCCAGTTGCCTGTTAGTATTTTTGATACCTGCTAAACATAACCACTGCCTTCATTCTTCCCCCTGAAACCTTGACTTGGCCCCCTGTTAATCATGGTCCTATTGAGGCATTGCTCTTTCTTTTTTCCTTATTTTTGTACTGCTGATCTAGAAACTATTTTTGTAAGTTGTTTTAGGAGCTGTTAAAAGATTCTTTATCTTCTCAGAATGTTTTTTCATTGTTTTTTGTTTTATTTTATTATTGTACTAATTCCAGTTTTTTAAAATCCAATGTCTCCTATGCAGAGTTCTCATACTGTGCTTATGATATACTTGATTTAGCACATGTATATTGCTTTACTTTATTGTTCTCTGATGGAAACTCTTTTTGCTGATGTCATTCTGTGCTGAGACATGATGCTCTATTTTGTTTAGGGGGAAAAGTAAACATTTCAGGGAACTTTTCAAAATCTAATAAAAGCAATTTCTTATAGTACTGTAATCCTCAGTATTTTCTCAATACCAGCTGTCTTTTGTGTTATGATTTTTTTTTTTATTCAACGTCCCTGTGGATGGACAAGGTGACATGGGTGACCAGAAAGACCCATTTACCCTTTATATCTCAGAACCAGAACCAAATCTTGCTTGTCCTGGCCAGCTACTCTATTAGTTAAGTCTCTGTCACAAGACAATTTTCACACGATCATATGGACCCGAACTGTGCTGGGCCCAAATATTCCTTTTCACATTGCTTCCATCATGGTTCCAGCAACTAGGGTGGCTGTGTAACCAGGCCAGCGCAGTAGGGCTTGGCTTGATCACAAAGGCACATTTCAAGCATCATTAGTACTGATGTAAACTAGCTTTGCATTTGGATGTACTGTACCTGACCCTTGTCCATTCCATGTATCTACTGCTGTGTATACACATCAGCCAAGCATACATTGTCAATGCTTTGCATGTCTGGAGGAATAATGCAAAACTAAGTATCTGTCTTGCATCCATGAAACTAATACATCTTTGTACTTCCATTTTATTTGCTTGTGGGAGCTATTTTGATCCTATAGACATGTTCTTAAATGGGAGGGATATACACTCAGTGGCCACACCCGCCATCCCCCTTTTTCCAATCCTCAATTGTCCAGTGTTGATCGCGTGCCCACTGGAGCCATTTCTTGGTTTTAGCTGACAGTAGTGGAACCTGGTGTGGTCGTCTACTACAATAGCCGGTCCTTGACAAGGTCCAACAAGTTGTGCGTTCCGAGATGCCGTTCTGCACACCAGTGTTGAACTGCGCTGTTATTTGCCTGTTAGCTTGCACGATGCTTGACATTCTCCTTCGACCTCACATCAACGAGCTGTTTTCGCCCACAGGACTGCCGCTGTGTAAATGTTTTTTGTTTGTCGCACCATTCTCGCTAAACCCTAGACACTCGTGCGTGAAAAGCCCAGGAGGCCGGCCGTTTGAGATACTGGAACCGCCGCACCAGGCACCGACGATTATACCACGCTCAAAGTCGCTTAGGTCACTCGTTTAGCCCATTTTAACGTTCAATCGAACACTGAATGCCTGTCTGCCTGCTTTATTTAGCAAGCCACGGCTATGTGACTCACTGTCTGTAGGAGCGTACGATTTTTGTGAACGGGGTGGTGTACCTAATAAACTGGCAACCGAGTGTAGTTTTCACCGGTATTCTGATATTTGATAGATTTAATCAGTATCACAAATCCTATCAGTTTATGTTGGATACATTTTGTGGATTTCAACAGCTATTTGTCTGATTAAATGTATTCAAGTGTGAATATCCAAATAGGTACCCAGAACGAAGAAATCTGAATCCCACCATTTGAAGAATGTTACCAATTGTTTTCTTGGTGACTATGGTCCCAGCTGCCTTGAGATCAGTGACAAGATCATCCCGTATAGTTCTGGGCTGATTCCTCACCGTTCTCATAATCATTGCAACTCCACGAGGTGAGATCTTGCATGGAGCCCCAGGCCGAGGGAGATTGACAGTTATTTTGTGTTTCTTCCATTTGCGAATAATAGCACCAACTGTTGTCACCTTCTCACCAAGCTGTTTGGCGATGGTCTTGTAGCCCATTCCAGCCTTGTGTAGGTCTACAATCTTATCCCTGACATCCTTGGAGAGCTCTTTGGTCTTGGCCATGGTGGAAAGTTTGGAATCTGATTGATTGATTGCTTCTGTGGACAGGTGTCTTTTATACAGGTAACAAACTGAGATTAGGAGCACTCCCTTTAACAGTGTGCTCCTAATCTCAGCTCCTTACCTGTATAAAAGACACCTGGGAGCCAGAAATCTTTCTGATTGAGATGGGGTCAAATACTTATTTCCCTAATTAAAATGCAAATCAATTTATAACATCTTTGACGTGCGTTTTTCTGGATTTTTTTGTTGTTATTCTGTCTCTCACTGTTCAAATAAACCTACCATTAAAATTATAGACTGATTATGTCTTTGTCAGTGGGCAAACGTACAACATCAGCAGGGGATCAAATACTTTTTTCCCTCACTGTACATTTAAACTCAGTTTTTTACAATTCCTGACATTTAATCCTAGTAAAAATTCCCTGTCTTAGGCCAGTTAGGATCACCACTTTATTTTAAGAATGTGAAATGTCAGAATAATAGTAGAGAGAATTATTTATTTCAGCTTTTATTTCTTTCATCACATTCCCAGTGGGTCAGAAGTTTACATACACTCAATTAGTATTTGGTGGCATTACCTTTAAATTGTTTAACTTGGGTCAAACGTTTCGGGTAGCCTTCCACAAGCTTCCCACAATAAATTGGGTGAATTTTGGCCCATTCCTCCTGACAGAGTTGGTGTGACTGAGTCAGGTTTGTAGGCCTCCTTGCTCGCATATGCTTTTTCAGTTCTGCCCACACATTTTCTATAGGATTGAGGTCAGGGCTTTGTGATGGCCACTCCAATAACTTGACTTTGTTGTCCTTAAGCCATTTTGCCACAACTTTGGAAGTATGCTTGGGGTCATTGTCCATTTGGAAGACCCATTTGCAACCCAGCTTTAACTTCCTGACTGATGTCTTGAGATGTTGCTTCAATATATCCACATAATTTTTCTTCCTCATGATGCCATCTATTTTGCGAAGTGCACCAGTCCCTCCTGCAGCAAAGCACCCCCACAGCATGATGCTGCCACCCCCGTGCTTCACGGTTGGGATGGTGTTCTTCGGCTTGCAAGGCACCCCCTTTTTCCTCCAAACGTAACAATGGTCATTATGGCCAAACAGTTATATTTTTGTTTCATCAGACCAGAGGACATTTCCCCAAAAAGTACGATCTTTGTCCCCATTTGCAGTTGCAAACCATAGTCTGGCTTTTTTAAGGTGGTTTTGGAGCAGTGGCTTCTTCCTTGCTGAGCGGCCTTTCATCCCCAGCACCCTAGCCGAGCTGGGAGCCCTGGTCAAGGGCATGGCTAAGGACCAGCACCGGCAGGAGCAGGCCCTCCACAACCTCCGCAAGGCCTGGGAGGACAAGGAGCGGCAGCTGGAGGAGGAGGTGGTGAGGTGGAGGGAGAGGAAGGATGAAGGAGGGTAAGTTGCTAGCTGGCAAAGGACCGTGGCAAATCTCTCTATGTGATTATTCTCTGTTTGTTCTCACGCCTAATTTCTCTCATTTTCTACCTCCCCTCTCTCCTTTTCTCTTCTCCCTCTCCTCCCCCTCCTATCCCCCCACTTAGAGGCAGTGGGAGTGTGAGCGCCAGGCCCTAAGAGCGGGCCACAAGGCCAGGGTGTGGGCCTAGGAGGAGAAGCTACCCTGCGCGACGCGGTGGACAAGTACAAACGCCCCACCTCCTCTTTCAGGCCTCCCTCCAACCACCTTCACTCAACCCCCACCTCAACTCCACCCACCTCAGTATCCGCTCCTTGGTCTCTGGGCCCTGCAACTGGCTGAGGTTCTATACAGTGTTTGGATCCTACGGCCGCTTCAAAGCTCTACTCTGGTTAAAAACTGGGGCTTATGTTGTTTGGTTTTTCCTGGTTTGTTGAGGAATAAGGATGTCTGCTTTGTGTGTGTGTCTGTTTCTATGTGTCTGCGTGTGTCTCGGTATTTCTGTTTCCTCTGACTTTGTGTGTTGTGTTGACTATGCCCTTTTGGGTTCCGACAACGGGGTGAGAGGACAGAGCTGTTTGACGGAAGAGAGGGAGAGGAGGACACAGCTGGGGACGATGGTGGAGGAGAGGAAGATGAAATGAAAGAGGAAGAGAGACTGGGTGACAGCTTGGCTAAAGAACAACATACTCAGGTAATTCAATCTAACTGAATATACACTGAGTATACCAAACATTAGGAACACCTTCCTAATGTTGAGTTGCACCACCTTTTGCCCTCAGAACAGCCTCAATTTGTTAGAGCATGGACTCTACAAGGTGTCGAAAGTGTTTCACAGGGATGCTGGCCCATGTTGACTGGATGTAATTTGGGTGGTGGACCATTCTTAAAACACACGGGAAACTGATGAACGTGAAAAACCCAGCAGCGTTGCAGTTCTTGACACAAACCGGTGCGCCTGGCACCTACTACCATACCTTGTTCAAAGGCACTTAAATCTTTTGTCTTGTCCATTCACCCTCAGAATGGCACACATACACAATCCATGTCTGAATTGTCTCAAGGCTTAAAAATCCTTCTTTAACCTGTCTCCTCCCCTTCATCTACACTGTTTGAAGTGGATTTAACAAGTGACATCAATAAGGGATCATAGCTTTCACCTTGATTCACCTCGTCAGTCTATGTCATGGAAAGAGCAGATGTTCTTAATGTTTTGTACACTCAGTGTATATGTCCTATATAATAAATGTTATTAGCCTTTATATCAGTCATATATTCATCCTTTAATGAGGCATTGAGTTGTAGTGAATCACATTGCTGATAGTCAACCTGTTGTGTGCCTGCTGCAGCACAAAACTGTCACTAGGTGTCACCCTATTTATTTACCTAGATTCACTTATCAAGGATGGCAAAAACTGTTCATTGTGGTAGGAGTCAATCCAGTTTTCCATTCAGGAATCGTAAAGTCCATATAGAAAACAATGGGTAATTTTCAATGCATGAAGAGAATTTCAGTTCACCTCCTGAATTGCCTGAATTGAAAACTGAATTGACCCCATCCTGATTGTTACATCAATTGAGCACTTTTTGACACCGCGTTTCCCTCTCTCGTTTTCCATCCAGGACCCTCCCCTCTTCCCCAGCGACCTGGACAACAAGGCCGTCACGGCAGAGCAGGTGCACTGGAAGTACCTGGGGGGCCAGCGGAGGAATATCCCCCCAACATGTGTAACAGTGGGTTTAGCTTAGATAGGGAATAGATTTTGTTACCAGTGCACATGTACCTTTACGTTGGCCTGGATGCCAGTCTGTTGCTACTGTATCCTGTTTGGCATGATAATGGTTTGGCTAAGCAGACACTGCATCAAATAAACCCCTTTTACCCAATAAAAATGATCCATCAAAACAAAATTTTTTTTGTAATGTGGATATTAATGATGAATCCTGTACTGAGATAAATTGGATGATTTATGTGACTATTTGCTGGTCTTTGCAGGTAGACAGTTCTGCCAAAGATACCGACTGGGTTTTCAATTAGCTATTATGTTGGTCACGGTTCTTCTTGTCTAGGCACTTCTATTGGCTCTAGCCTTTCTCAGTGAGTATTCAGACAATTTATCCATGTACATTTTACATAGCCTACACTACAACCTGTATATACACTTTTAATATGACTTCCCTATCTGTCATTTCCTTCACTTTTTGTCATGCATCAATAAATACAACTACAACAAAAACATTTAGTCCAGTTGCTACCACAGTGCCTAAATCAAAAAGCATTGTTTAGATGTTAAACTCTTATAATAACACAATTTCGTCTTGTAATTTGTGAGTATTTCTAATATTCCCTCATTAGTTCTAAAAGCTACGACACTCGGAATAGAGCCAATGGAGCGACTGCATCAGTGCCAAGTGGACCTCCACAGTGCTTCACATTGTCACTCAAGGTGCTTATCACGATCACTGACCCATTTTATCTCCACGATGACTCTTCATGAGTAGGTCTTTTCAATTGTGAGATAACACTCATTCTATACTTTACAGGCCCACTCCACCCTAAACAAACAGATTCACAAGCACACAATCTATTTCAGATTAGTAATTAGGCTATTATGATCTATTGACTCTTAAAGTCAAAGTACATTGTCAACATAGGCGTAGTAGCCAACAGGTTTTGATGACTGCGACCTGTTGGTTCTTCTTTTAAAATAAAATAATATGCCACTTAGCAGACGCTTTTATCCAAAGCGACTTAGAGTCATGCGTGCATACATTTTTGTGTATGGGTGGTCCCGGGGATCGAACCCACTACCCTGGTGTTACAAGCGCCGTGCTCTACCAGCTGAGCTACAACCTATAACTCTTTCAATCCTAAACCAACATGATTCTATGTGGCATCCTATACTTTAGCTATCTTGTCCCTGCCCTGTCTGCCTCACATACCATCCTCTCCCCCTATTGTGTAGACTCCAGATGCAGGCTGTGTCCAGAGCGGTGTGGTGAGGGCGCAGCTACTTCTTCTCTGTGGGCCTGGAGGAGAACAGGAAGTGGAGGGAGAGCTCCGAGTTCTGTCAGCAGCGCAACGCTAGCCTGGCTGCCATAGAGGAGCGCACTGAGATGGTATGAAGAAGGAGAGGGAGGGATACAAAAAGAGAGCGTTTGTGTGAGAGAGCGAACAATGTAACATAGATTAAGGTAGATATCTTTGTGATAACTCAATCTGAGGAGAGGAGAGTGAGGAAGAATAAGATGAGCGAACAGGGTTGTTGACAGATAAATCTAGTTGGTACCAATAAGGGAGATGGTGACTAGTGATAGTGTTGGTACCTTGACCATAATGAGCCATGTCCCACAGGATTTTATCCAGGGGCTGATGAGGATGTTTCCACAGCTACCCTTTCTGTGGGTGGGGCTGACAGACACTCAGGAGGAGGGACAGTGGGGTTGGTGGGATGGTAGAGCCGTCCAGCATTAAGCCCCGTGAGTTGATTCCCTCATTTTGTTTTAAGCCAAATGTATTTATAATGTGTGAAATGTCCTGATCATTAATATTTGTCGGTCTCAAGGCCTCTGTTACTCTTTAGGCAGTTTCTTTCACAGTGTTTGACTATGAGGCCTATATGTTGCAGGGAGGTGGGGAAGCAGTCTGTCTGTGACTGTCTCATCTTTATGTGATAGGATTGAGGTTGAGTGGGACTCGGAGCACAGGGACTGTGCAGACCTGAGGGGGGACGGGAGTCTGTTTGCTGTGGACTGTGAGGCCTATGGACCCTGGGTGTGTGAGAGAGAGGCCTAAGGTACCAAATAACCCCAGTACCTGTCCACTTGTGTGAAACCCATTCAAGATCATCAATCACTTCTAAGGACTTCACAATGAATGAATAGAAACATGTTGTACTCCAATCCCTTGTAGATATTGTAGGGTTGTATTATTGAATGCATAACCAGTATTAGGTTTTTGACCTCTCCTGTACATGTTATCTCTTTCAATTATGTGTCACATCTTGTGTTTAACGCTCTTCCTGTTCAGCATTTGTTTATTGGTTTCCATAGTGTTGTTTTCAATGTTTGTTATTTCTCATGAGCCTCGAGGGGTGGGTGATCACACCATCATTGCCATGGGTGGGGTTATACAGTGAGCACATATACAACATCATAGAGATGTTTATGTGCAGTATTCTAAGCAACCACACGTACGCTATACGGAACTCTCACTTAGAGTTCACATATGCAAAGTAGTACACATAGAACATGTAATGTGACCTTCATATGCACCTAGACAATTATATAAAGTGTTATTTTTGTAAAATGCAGAACTGTCAAGAAATGTGTGGTTCTTTCACAATCAGAGTTGTAGCACGTTGAAGAGGCTGGCTCTTATTGAGGAAGAATAATTATTAATCATGAGGTTATGATGTCAATGTAACTCAATTAAATTATTTTCCCTCTTACAAGCAATTAAATGCTGCTAATTTGATCATTTTCAAGTAGATTTAAGTCAAAACTGTAACTCGGTCACTCAAGAACATTCACTGTCTACTTGGTAAGCAACTCCAGTGAAGATTTGACCTTGTGTTTTAGGTTATTGTCCTGCTAAAAGGTTAATTAATCTCCCAGTGTCTGGTGGAAAGCAGACTGAACCATGTTTTCCTCTAGGATTCTGCCTGTGCTTAGCTCCATTCCATTTCTTTTTTATCCTGAAAAACTTCACAGTCCTTAATGATTACTAGTATACCCATAACATGATGCAGCCACCACTATGCTTGAAGATATGGAGAGTGGTACTCAGTGATGTGCTGTATTGGATTTCCCCAAACATAACACTTTGTATTCAGGACAAAAAGTTAATTGCTTTGCCAATTTTCTTTTGCAGTATTGCTTTAGTGCCTTGTTGCAAACAGAATGCATGTTTTGAAATATTTTTATTCTGTACAGGCTTCCTTCTTTTTACTCTGTCAATTAAGTTACTATTATGGAGAAACTACAATGTTGTTGATCCATCCTCAGTTTTCGCCTATCACAGCAATTAAACTCTGTAACTATTTTAAAATAATCATTGGCCTCATGGTGCAATCCCTGAGCGGTTTCCTTCCTCTCCGGTAACTGAGATAGGAAGGACGCCTGTATCTTTGTAGTGACTGGGTGTATTGATACACCGTCCAAAGTGTAATTAATAACTTCACCATGCTCAAAGGGATATTCAGTGTCTGCTTTTTTTACCCTTCTTTGCTAGCCATTGGAAAATCTCCCTGGTCTTTGTGGTTGAATCTGTTTAAAATTCACTGCTCGACTGAGGGACCTTAAAGATAATTGTATGTGTGGGGTACAGAGATGAGGTAGTCATTCAAAAATCATGTTAAACACTATTATTGCACACAGAGTGAGTCCATGCTACTTATTATGTGACTTGTTAAAGCAAAGTTTTACTCCTGAACTTATTTAGGCTTTACATAACAAAGGGGTTGAATACTTATTGACTCAAGACATTTCAGATTTTCATTTTTAATTAATTTGTAAAAATGTCAAAAAAACATAATTCCACTTTGACATTATGGGATATTGTGTGTAGGCCAGTGACAACAAATCTCTATTTAATCCATTTTACATTCAGGGTGTAACACAACAACATTTGGGAAAAGTCAAGGGGTGTGAATACTTTCTGAAGGCACTGTATACAGATTATGAAATTGCATAAATATATGAAGACATAAGATATAGATACTGAATATAGGTAAATAGATACACTGCAATATATAGATATACTGTAGGTAGATTTAAAATAACTAGTTTTCCTCAGTATACATTTCCCGTCTTCCATTTAACTAGCTGTTTCAGTATCATAATGCAATTCCTATACAGTATTTGGATACATTCTTTTTAAGCGTATTCAAACTTGGGGCTTTTCAAACATTTGTTTAAATCTAGGTTGTCCAATTCATTTTTATTTTTTTTAGGGTGTGAAGTTGCCTTCTTCCCATCCAGCTCTTAAGATTTATAAGGGTCCAAGTGTCTAGACCAAGTGTCTAGGCCGACTGTTGTCGAAACAGGGAAAGCCCAAGCTCAACCCAAGTCTTTGCGGGTCAAAATGTCAACTGCTCAAACTCTTCTCCAATGGTTTTTCTCTTATTCTTGGTACTTCATTGATAAATTCATCTTATTGATTAACCAGATATACCTGGTTTTCCAAGTCCAAATAAGCCAGTGATTGAAAGGCAAAGGAAAACCAGGTCTGCAGTCAGCTTATGTTGGAGAGAACCTCCGAACCAAAGACCCATGATGTCTTCAAAATTTAGAGACCGTGTGTGGCGAGATGACGGTGATGAGTGTGCGCCCGTCCAGCGGGGCAAACACTGGGTACAGCTTCTCTTTGAAGGTGCCCGTGAATGTATAGATGTGCGACTTGGTCTCTGCGTTGTAGAAGGAGATCTGTCCTTCCTCGTAGTCTAGATAGATCCCCAACCGGCGGGCCACCAGACCCAGGGGCAGGGGCGTCTCAGGCTTGGTACAGGCGTAGAACTGGTGCGTGCTGCGCCACAGGGTCCAGTAGCCCGTCTGGGGGCTAATAGGGAAGCGGCCGTGGCGTTTGGCGCTCGCCGTGGTCAGGCCGACCCGCCAGTAGCCGTTGTTGGCTATGTCGACTTCCCAGTAGTGCCGTCCGGAGGCGTATCCCTCCCAGCCCAGCACACCAGGCCAGGTGTCGAAGCGCTGGGGACTGAAGGGCAGATTGGACTCGGAGATGCCCTCCTGGACCTTCCGGTGGTCATCTGAGAGCTGGAGCCACAGGTGGTTGGTCATGGGGTCAAAGGTCACATCGGCTACAGGGAGGAGGGGGAGAGAGTTGGTAACTTTCTGAAATGTGCTACACATGTTGTACTTTCTCCATTTTAAATAACATTCTGTCATCCATTTTCCACTCTTCTTAATTTCTATGCTAGTAGTACCAATATTTTGTTGTAGTTTAAAGTTTGGTCAAAATGTATGAAAATGCTTTAAATGTATTCTTTTTTTCTGTGCTTCTTTTCTTTTCTTTTTTATTAACAGTTCAAATTAAAACATGTGTCCAAATAGAAGGATAGTTACCTGATGCACTGATCATCCAGTTCCACACTGAGTTAGGGATGTATGTTGGAGTGCCTGCCTTCCAGGTGCGCTGCTTTGCTGACAGCCACAGCTGAGGAATGCCACCCTGAAAATAGAAACACAGAGAGTTTATGAACATAGGTAAAGAATTGTCTTTAATAGTTTCATTTCCATCTTATTACTGTGAGCTGAAATGGTATAAATCTAATTATAAACTGTGTGGTTTGAGCACTGAATGCTGATTGGTTGACAGCCGTGGTATATCAGACCGTATACCACAGGTATGACAAAACATTTATTTGTACTGCTCTAATTACGTTGGTAACCAGTTTATAATAGCAATAAGGTACCTCGGAGGTTTGTGGTATATGGCCAATATACCATGGCTAAGGGCTGTATCCAGGCACTCCGCATTGCATCGTGCTTAAAAACAGCCCTTAGCCGTGGTATATTGGCCATATACCACACCTCCTTGTGCCTTATTGCTTAAGTGACACAAACTAGGTCAGCACATTCAAGCACATACATGTTCTTCTCAACCAATACCCACAGGCAGATAACACCTATAAAATACAGGTTATGCTGATACATACAGTAAGTGTATGATGTAAATGACATGCTAGATTGGCAATGTTCTGTACATGATGTTTTATTGCACTATATCATATGACCTGGGGCCTTATCACAACGAGGTAAAGGTACAGCGGACGTGAAGTTTAGACAAGACAACGGTCAATCATTCACTGTACTCTAGGTGGGATGAGACAGGTAGGTTTGGGAGGACTGTCTTGTGATGTTCATTTGTAATGTTTTGTACTGCAATATTCCACCATTATTAGTAACTATTGAATTGAAATATAGGCATTGATATGGTGGTTTAACTACCGTAGAATTACATTTTTAAAAATACCTTTTTGCTGTAACTAAAGTTAATCCTTCTAATTTCTATACCATATGTGAACAAATACAGTGGGGAAAAAAAGTATTTAGTCAGCCACCAATTGTGCAAGTTCTCCCACTTAAAAAGATGAGGCCTGTAATTTTCATCATAGGTACACGTCAACTATGACAGACGAAATTAGAAAAGAAAATCCAGAAAAATCACATTGTAGGATTTTTAATGAATTTATTTGCAAATGATGATGGAAAATAAGTATTTTGTCAATAACAAAAGTTTCTCAATACTTTGTTATATACCCTTTGTTGGCAATGACACAGGTCAAACGTTTTCTGTAAGTCTTCACAAGGTTTTCACACACTGTTGCTGGTATTTTGGCCCATTCCTCCATGCAGATCTCCTCTAGAGCAGTGATGTTTTGGGGCTGTCGCTGGGCAACACAGACTTTCAACTCCCTCCAAAGATTTTCTATGGGGTTGAGATCTGGAGACTGGCTAGGCCACTGCAGGACCTTGAAATGCTTCATACGAAGCCACTCCTTCGTTGCCCGGGCGGTGTGTTTGGGATCATTGTCATGCTGAAAGACCCAGCCACGTTTCATCTTCAATGCCCTTGCTGATGGAAGGAGGTTTTCACTCAAAATCTCACGATACATGGCCCCATTCATTCTTTCCTTTACACGGATCAGTCGTCCTGGTCCCTTTGCAGAAAAACAGCCCCAAAGCATGATGTTTCCACCCCCATGCTTCACAGTAGGTATGGTGTTCTTTGGATGCAACTCAGCATTCTTTGTCCTCCAAACACGACAAGTTGAGTTTTTACCAAAAAGTTCTATTTTGGTTTCATCTGACCATATGACATTCTCCCAATCCTCTTCTGGATCATCCAAATGCACTCTAGCAAACTTCAGACAGGCCTGAACATGTACTGGCTTAAGCAGGGGGACACGTCTGGCACTGCAGGATTTGAGTCCCTGGCGGCGTAGTGTGTTACTGATGGTAGGCTTTGTTACTTTGGTCCCAGCTCTCTGCAGGTCATTCACTAGGTCCCCCCGTGTGGTTCTGGGATTTTTGCTCACCGTTCTTGTGATCATTTTGACCCCACGGGGTGAGATCTTGCGTGGAGCCCCAGATCGAGGGAGATTATCAGTGGTCTTGTATGTCTTCCATTTCCTAATAATTGCTCCCACAGTTGATTTCTTCAAACAAAGCTGCTGACCTATTGCAGATTCAGTCTTCCCAGCCTGGTGCAGGTCTACAATTTTGTTTCTGGTGTCCTTTGACAGCTCTTTGGTCTTGGCCATAGTGGAGTTTGGAGTGTGACTGTTTGAGGTTGTGGACAGGTGTCTTTCATACTGATAACAAGTTCAAACAGGTGCCATTAATACAGGTAACGAGTGGAGGACAGAGGAGCCTCTTAAAGAAGAAGTTACAGGTCTGTGAGAGCCAGAAATCTTGCTTGTTTGTAGGTGACCAAATACTTATTTTCCACCATAATTTGCAAATAAATCCATTAAAAATCCTACAATGTGATTTTCTGGATTTTTTTCTCTCTCAATTTGTCTGTCATAGTTGACGTGTACCTATGATGAAAATTACAGGCCTCTCTCATCTTTTTAAGTGGGAGAACTTGCATAATTGGTGGCTGACTAAAAACTTTTTTTTACCCACTGTAAGTAGTACCTTGAGCAAATATTGACATGGAAAAACTTGATTATGATTGATTGAGTCCTAGATTTACTGTGGACCAGGGGTATGTACAGTAAGTAATAAGTCATATGTGTCACGCTTCCACCATAAACCTTGTCATTATTTGTGCACCTCCAACACTATTTACAGCATTCTTTGTGTAGCAGTGTATCACTGGTTATGCAAGCTGCTTTCATAACACCATAGGTAGATACAGTTGAAGTCGGAAGTTTATGTACACCTTAGCCAAGTACATTTAAACTCAGTTTTTTACAATTCCTGACATTTAATCCTAGTAAACATTCCCTGTCTTAGGTCAGTTAGGATCACCACTTTATTTTAAGAATATGAAATGTCAGAATAATTGTAGAGAGAATTATTTATTTCAGCTTTTATTTCTTTCATCACATTCCCAGTGGGTCAGAAGTTTACATACACTCAATTAGTATTTGGTAGCATTGCCTTTAAATTGTTTAACTTGGGTCAAATGTTTCAGGTAGCCTTCCACAAGCTTCCCACAATAAGCTGGGTGAATTTTGGCCAATTCCTCCTGACAGAGCTGGTGAAACTGAGTCAGGTTTGTAGGACTCCTTGCTCGCATACGCTTTTTCAGTTCTGCCCACAAATGTTCTATAGGATTGAGGTCAGGGCTTTGTGATGGCCACTCCAATACCTTGACTTTGTTGTCCTTAAGCCATTTTGCCACAACTTTGGAAGTATGCTTGGGGTCATTGTCCATTTGGAAGACCCATTTGCAACCAAGCTTTAACTTCCTGACTGATGTCTTGAGATGTTGCTTCAATATATCCACATAATTTTCCTTCCTCATGATGCCATCTATTTTGTGAAGTGCACCAGTCCCTCCTGCAGCAAAGCACCCCCACAGCATGATGCTGCCACCCCCGTGCTTCACAGTTGGGATGGTGTTCTTCGGCTTGCAAGCAACCCCCTTTTTCCTCCAAACATAACGATGGTCATTATGGCCAGACAGTTCTATTTTTGTTTCATCAGACCAGAGGACATTTCTCCAAAAAGTAAGATCTTTGTCCCCATGTGCAGTTGCAAACCGTAGTCTGGCTTTTTTATGGCGGTTTTGGAACAGTGGCTTCTTCCTTGCTGAGCGATCCTTTCAGGTTATGTCGATATAGGACTCGTTTTACTGTGGCTATAGATACTTTTTTTCCTACAGTATCTTCACAAGGTCCTTTGCTGTTGTTCTGGGATTGATTTGCACTTTTCGCACCAAAGTACGTTCATCTCTAGGAGACAGAATGCGTCTCCTTCCTGAGCGGTATGACGGCTGCGTGGTCCCATGGTGTTTATACTTGAGTACTATTGTTTGTACAGATGAACGTGGTACCTTAAGGCGTTTGGAAATTGCTCCCAAGGATGAACCAGATTTGTGGAGGTCTACAATTGTGTTTTCTGAAGTCTTGGCTGATTTCTTTTGATTTTCCCATGATGTCAAGCAAAGAGGCACTGAGTTTGAAGGTAGGCCTTGAAATACATCCACAGTTACACCTACAATTGACTCAAATTATGTCAATGAGCCTATCAGAAGCTTTTAAAGCCATGACATCATTTTCTGGAATTTTCCAAGCTGTTTAAAGGCACAGTCAACTTAGTGTATGTAAACTTTTGACCCACTGGAAGAGTGATACAGTGAATTATAAGTGAAATAATCTGTCTGTAAACAATTGTTGGAAAAATGACTTGTGTCATGCACAAAGTAGATGTCCTAACCGACTTGTCAAAACTATAGTTTGTTAACAAGAAATTTGTGGAGTGGTTGAAAAAATTAGTTTTAATGACTCCAACCTAAGTGTATGTAAACTTCCGACTTCAACTGTATATACAGTGCCTTCAGAAAGTATTCACACCCCTTTACTTTTTCCACATTTTGTTGTGTTACAGCCTGCATTTAAAATGGATTTGATTTTTTTGTCACTGGCCTACACAAAATACCCGATAATGTAAAAAATGAATTTTACAAATTAATTAAAAGTGAAAAGCTGAAATGTCTTGAGTCAATAAGTATTCAACCCCTTTGTTATGGCAAGCCTAAATAAGTTCAGGAGTACAAATTTGCTTAATAAGTCACATAATACATTCCATGGACTGTGTGTGCAATAATAGTTTTTAACATGAGTTTTTATTGACTACCTCATCTCTGTACCCCGCACAATTATCTGTAAGGTCCCTCAGTCGAGCAGGGAATTTCAAACACAGATTCAACCACAAAAACCAGGGAGATTTTCCACTGCCTCGCAAAGAAGGGCACCTAATTGGTAGATGGGTAAAAAAAAAAAGCAGACATTGAATCCCCCCTTGAGCATGGTGAAGTTATTAATTACACTTTGGATGGTGTATCAATACACCTAGTCACTACAAAGATACAGGCGTCCTTCCTAACTTAGTTGCCGGAGAGGAAGAAAACCACTCAGGGATTTCCCCATGAGGCCAATGGTGACTTTAAAACAATTACAGAGTTGAATGGCTGTGATAGGAGAAAACTGAGGATGGATCAACAATATTGTAGTTACGCCACAATACTAACCTAATTGGTAGAGGGAAAAGAAGGAAGCCTGTACAGAATACAAATATTCCAAAACATGCATCTTGTTTGCAATAAGGCAAACTTCAGAAAATGTGGCAAAGATATTAACTTTATGCCCTGAATACAAAGCGTTATGTTTGGGGCAAATCCAACAAAACACATCACTGAGTACCACTCTTCATATTTTCAAGCATGGTGGTGGCTGCATCATGTTATGGGTATGCTTGTCATCGGCAAGGAATAGGGAGTTTTTTAGGATAAAAAATTAAAATAAAGCTAAGCACAAGCAAAATCCTAAAGGAAAACCTGGTTCAGTCTGCTTTCCAACAGACACTGGGAGACAAATTCACCTTTCAGCACACCAATAACTTAAAACACAAGGACAACTTTACTTACACTACCGTTCAAAAGTTTGGGGTCAATTTGAAATGTCCTTGTTTTCGAAAAAAATCAAATTTTTTGTCTATTAAAATAACATCAAATTGATCAGAAATACAGTTTAGACATTGTTAATGTTGTAAATGGCTATTGTAGCTGGAAACGGCTGATTATTTATGGATTATCTACATAGGCCTACAGCAACCATCAGTCCTGTGTTCCAATGGCACATTGTGTTTGCTAATCCAAGTTTATCATTTTAAATGGCTAGTTGATCATTAGAAAACCCTTTGGAAATTATTTTAGCACAGCTGAAAACTGTTGTGCTGATTAAAGAAGCAATACAACTGGCCTTCTTGAGACTAGTTGAGTATCTGGAGCAGCAGCAATTGTGGGTTCGATTACAGGCTCAAAATGGCCAGAAACAAAGAACTTTCTTCTGAAACTCGTCAGTCTATTCTTGTTCTGAGAAATTAAGGCTATTCCATGCGAGAAATTGCCAAGAAACTGAAGATCTCGTACAACGCTGTGTACTACTCCCTTCACAGAACAGCGCAAACTGGCTCTAACCAGAATAGAAAGAGGAGTGGGAGGCCCCGGTGCACAACTGAGCAAGAGGACAAATACATTAGAGTGTCTAGTTTGAGAAACAGATGCCTCACAGGTCCTCAACTGGCAGCTTCATTAAGTAGTACCCGCAAAACACCAGTCTCAACGTCAACAGTGAAGAGGCAACTCCGGGATGCTGACCTTCTTGGCAGAGTTGCGAAGAAAAAGCCATATCTCAGACTGGCCAATTAAAAGAAAAGATTAAGATGGACAAAAGAACACAGCCACTGGACTTTTTCTTTGCAACTCTGCCTAGGTCAGCATCCCGGAGTCGCCTCTTCACTGTTGACATTGAGACTGGTGTTTTGCGTGTACTAGTCTCAAGAAGGCCAGTTTGATTGCTTCTTTAATCAGCACAACAGTTTTCAGCTGTGCTAACATAATTGCAAAAGGGTTTTCTAATGATCAATTAGCCTTTTTAAAATGATAAACTTGGATTAGCAAACACAACGTGCCATTGGAACACAAGAATGATGGTTGCTGATAATGAGCCTCTGTACGCCTATGTAGATATTCCCTAAAAAAATCAGCCATTTCCAGCTACAATAGCCATTTACAACATTAACAATGTCTACACTGTATTTCTGATCAATTTGATGTTATTTTAAATGGACAGCAAAATTGCTTTTCTTTCGAAAACAAGGACATTTCTAAGTGACCCCAAACGTTTGAACGGTAGTGTATATCGGCTTAAAAATCTATGGCAAGACTTGAAAATGGCTGCCTAGAAATGATCAACAACCAATTTGAATTAAAACAATTATAATGTGCAAATATTGTACAATCCGGGTGTGCAAAGCTATTAGAGATGTACCCAGAAAGACTCAGCTGTAATCGCTGCCAACAGGTTCTTCTAACATGTATTGACTCAGGGGGTTGAATACTTATGTAATCAAAATATATTAGTGTTTTTTTTCTTCATAATTATTTATTTGACGTTAGAGTATTTTGTGTAGATCATTGACAAAAAAATGACAATTAAATCCATTTTAATCCCACTTTTGTAACACAACAAAATGTGGAATAACGTCAAGGGGTGTGAATACTTTCTGAAGGCACTGTATGCCTATTTGAGCATGTAGCCTATATAATTGTATAGCTGATTCTCAATCTACGTTTAAGAGGGAACATTGCTAATTACAATGGATTCAGGCAAGTGTACGACTTCAGAAAAGAAGACGTTGTACATAACATTCTGAGTTATGTTTTATGAGAGGAGCCCTATTAAACTAGTTCTCTAACTTAGTGTTGACCACTTTTTTCCTCCATTTTTGGGGAGGTGTGTGTGTTTTTGTGTTTGCTTGTGTGTGTGTGTCGTCTCACCTTGCAGTCCTCCTTGAGCAGTGACCAAGTAATGAACTCCAGTAAGGGCAGGAGGTTGATCAGTCTCTTCTTCCTCAGACCCAGCAGACGCAGAACATTGCCTAGCTCATTGCTCTGCACCCCACAACTCTATGTAGACAGATAGCCAGACAAACGTTAATACCAAGTCATCTCTATGAGTCTCCTATCACACTTTTTCGACCTTTTAGCCCCTATGCTAAATGGCTCTATTTGGTAGCAAATTTGCAGATAGCAGTTAACCAAGGCTGTTTGAATGCTAGGTTATACAAATTTCCAACAGTTTGGAACACAGTATTTCCCCCATTTCCATCCTCGGTAGTGTCCCTTTGTGTCTCATATACATTTGTATCCTTGACCTTGACCCCTCACCCCTGACCTATCACCTCTGAGGCACTCTGCAGCTCCTTGGCCCATTCCATGATCCTCTGCTGCATTTCCTCATTGGGGTCCTCTCCATCCTTGTTTTCGTCTTCCTCCTCCTCACATCTCTCCTGCACCCAGGGGCTAGACTTCGCCAGCTGAGGAGGCACAGAGGAATACAGTTGAATGTTTTCAGTCAAATTCAATGTAATATATTAATGAATAATTATGAATCAATTGACTTAAAATGCCTAGATATGATACTTCAAGCGAACGTTTGATAGAATACACAAAAAAAAGTAAGTATTCGTTTTTTCTCACCTTGTCGACGCTGTTGAGCTCATTGGCCCACAGCAGAATGAGTTTCCTGCTCTCTTCCAGACTGCGTTCTGTTTTGGGGTCTTTCAGTTCCACAGGGGTCTCTCCTTTACTGGTGCCCTTCCCCGCATCACTGCCACTCTGCAACAAGACAACACAGCAACCAGGTCAATATAATACTGTACGTTCTCAATAGTGTGTATAGCCATCTCATCTCAATCATCTTAATGTCAAAGCAATTTTGTAGAAATCCTGTGGTCTCCATTGACAAAGTACAGCTTGGGATTTTGTGTGTAATATAACTTGATTCACACCAAAAAAACAGCAAAAAGGCGAAAACAACTAGGCATTGGTTGCAAAACTAGATCAAATAAATTCAAAATGGGATCAAATACATTCAAAATGGGATGATTGAGTGTTTTTCGTTTACGTAACCCTGTTCCTGCCTGGGAGGCCAGAGGCGAGGTCAGCACTCCCCACCAGAGGCCAGGTCAGCACTCTCCACCCCACCCTACCGCCAACTCCATCTGGCCCCCCTTGTATTACAATTTTTTAGGAAAACATATATTTTTTGGAGAAAACAATGAACTTTCTGCATTTCAACATTGCAGTTTTATAATGCTATTCTACACATTTTGTCATGAGGCGAAGAGAAAAATGTTGCTGTTTTAAAATGAATTTCCTGCAATTCTACACTTTTTGCCATGGGTCAGAGAGAAAAAGGTACTGTTTTATAGCTCATCTCATGCTTTTGTTCACATTTTGCCATGAGGCTGAGAGAAAAGTTAGACAGATTTTGATCTGGGAGGCCCGCGACCCCCCCCCCCCCCCCCCCCCCACACACACACACAAAATAATACTATCACTAATACTATCATACTAACATTGGAAATACATTTGCACCCCTGAACTTTCTCAGTTACTGCTTTTGTTCCCTCCTCCCTTGTTCTTTCTATAGATGTATGTCTTCCCCCCCCCCCCTCTCCTCTCTCTCTCTCCCTCTCAGGGTCCTACTGTACCTTGCAGACTTGGGCCACCTGCTCCTTCCAGTGGTTGATGAAGCGGACACACTCCTGCAGACTGCGCAGGTTCTTCATGCCATTCTGACGAGGGTGTTGCTACAAGAGACATACACACACAGACAGCATGAACAGGTAGGCAGGCAAATGTAGAAAAAGAGTACAAAGGAACAGATACAGGTAGAAGAGTAGACAATTTAACTGTTTTGGATGGACTGGATGCTGATGTGATGCTGTGAGTGGATTGAGGTGTGTGTGCACGTGTGTAGCCTACCGATGAGCGTTGTGTGGAGGGGGCGCTGCTCTTGCAGGGGCTGGTAGGGGCTGAGCTGTGGGCCTGGAGTTCCTCATCAGGAAGGTTCCAGCGCACCGCCCCGATGGATTGACTCTGGGTAGAGCGCTCCAACTTCAGCTGGGAGTTATGCTCTGGAGGTGAAATAGTGATAAAATGAGATTAGAGTGGATGAGGGGTGGGGGGCACAGATACATTTGAGTCACATTTAACTAAGCGTATACATTTAACTTTACGTCAGATTTAATTAAATCAAATGAGTTATTGCTTAAAGGCCAGTCAAAAATGAGATTGTCCTGTGTTTTATATATATTTTCACACAAGGAGGTTGGAATAATACTGTGAAATTGGGAAAATTATGATAATGCCCTTTTAGTGTAAGAGCTGTTTGGAAAGACCGCCTGAAAATTCAGGCTGTTGTGGTGGGATGGACATCACCAGGCCGTAAATTAGTTAATAGACCAATAAGAAAGAGAGCTAGTTTTAACGGCTAGTTTCAGTTTTCCCCTCCCCACTCAGACCACTTCCAGATAGTCCTAGCAAAATTATTGCTTGAGAAATTGCTCTTTGTTAACCCACTGGACACAGAAGTCAATTCAATGTCTATTCCATGCTGGTTCAACATAATTTCGTTGAAATGACGTGGGGAAAACGTTGATTCAACCAGTGTGTGCCCAGTTGGAAGAAGCTGTTTATTTTTTGGACCATTTTAATGGAAAACAAATCACAGTAATTGTTACCAGAAATGATTTGATATTGAGATAAAAACGGCTGCATTGGACCTTTAAAAGGTAAACAATAATAAAATAGTAACTATTTGCTCTATTGTGCATTTTTACTTATTATGAAGCGGCCAAGTCCTATGAACGGATATTAAAATGTTTCAATGGTAGTACACCGGCAGTACAATACAGTGGATAGATGGTAGTAGATAACAGTAGTGTTCTAAAATTGATTGATCAACGCTTGTATTTGATGATTTGATGAAACTATTGGACGATTGTGATCTGATTAGATAAAGATTTAATACCAGTTTGGAATCAATTAATTATCCATATTAGAACAATAGATAATTATCCATGTAGTCACATTTAATATAATGTCATGCAATTCAAAATACAGTAGTTCTAAACAAAGGTTACATGATTATTAGTCAACGAAAAAGGTCACAATATTATATTAGTGATATATAATTTATGTAATGTATATACAATACTGCAGGGATCATCAACTACACTGAACAAAATATAAATGCAAAATGTAAAGTGTTGGTCCCATGTTTCATGAGCTGAAATAAAAGATCCCAGAACATTTCCATATGCACAAAAACACATTTCTCTCAAATTGTATGGACAAATGTGTTTATATCCCTGTTAGTGAGCATTTCTCCTTTGCCAAGATAATCCATCCCCCTGACAGGTGTGGCATATCAAGAAGCTGATTAAACAGCATGATCATTACACAGGTGCACTCTAAAATGTGCAGTTTTGATACACAACACAGTGCCACAGATGTCTCAAGTTTTGAGGGAGCGCGTAATTGGCATGCTGACTGCAGGAATGTCCACTAGAGCTGTTGCCAGAGAATTTAATGTTGATTTCTCTACCATAAGCCACCTCCAATGTCGTTTTAGAGAATTTGACAGTATGTCCAACCGGCCTCACAACTGTGAGCGGTTTGCTGATGTCAACTTTGTGAACAGAGTGCCCCATGGTGGCGATGGGGTTATGTAGGGCAGGCATAAGCTACTGAGAACTAACACAATTGCATTTTACAGATGGCAATTGATGCACAGAGATACCGTGATGAGATCGTGAGGCCCATTGTCGTGCCATTCATCCACCACCATCACCTCATGTTTCAGCATGATAATCCACAGCCCCATGTCGCAAGGATCTGTACACAATTCCTGGAAGCTGAAAATGTCCCAGTTCTTCCATGGCCTGCATACTCACCGGACATGTCGCCCATTGAGCATGTTTGGGATGTTCTGAATCGACGTGTACGACATCATGTTCCAGTTCCAACCAATATCCAGCAACTTCGCCCACAGCCATTGCAGAGAAGTGGGATAACATTCCACAGGCCACAATCAACAGCCTGATCAACTCTATGTGAAGATGTGTCGCGGTACATGAGGCAAATGGTGGTCACACCGGATACTGACTGGTTTTCTGATCCACGCCCCTACCTTTATTTTAAGGTATGCATATCTGTATTCCCAGTTATGTGAAATCCATAGATTATGGTTTTAATTTATTTATTTAAATTGACCGATTTCCTTATATGAACTGTAACTCAGTAAAATCTTTGAAACTGTTGCGTGTTGCATTTATATTTTTGTTGAGCGGAAGGTCAGGGGGCCAGAACATAATTACAAATCATTTGTAGATTGCAAATTGACCGCAAGAAGCCCAAACAGATAGAATATTTCACTAAAACATAATAATTTCAAACCTTGCTTACATTTGTATACGATCACATATATACAGTGCCTTCGGAAAGTATTCAGTCCCATTGACTTTTTCCACATTTTGTTACGTTACAACCTTAATCTAAAATGGATTAAATAAATAAAAATATCCTCAGCAATCTGCACACAATACTGCATAATGACAACATTTCTGGAGAGACCTGAAAATAGCTGTGCATTAACGCTCCTCATCCAACCTGACAGAGCTTGAGAGGATCTGCAGAGAAGAATGGGAGAAACTCCCCAAATACAGGTGTGCCAAGCTTGTAGCGTCATACCAAAGAAGACTTGAGGCTGTAATCGCTGCAAAAGGTGCTTCAACAAAGTACTGAGTAAAGGGTCTGAATACTTATGTCAATGTGATATCAGTTATTTTTTTTATTATAAATTAGCAAAAAAAAATTATAACCTGTTTTTGCTTTGTCATTATGGGGTATTGTGTGTAGATTGATTAGGGGAAAAAACTATTTAATCAATTTTAGAATAAGGCTGTAACCTAACAAAATGTGGAAAAAGTCAAGGGTTCTGAATACTTTCCGAAGGCACTGTATATCTGTATAAGATAATAATGTATAACATATCTAATATTATGATATGTACATATAATATTGTCAGTAGGGAAAAATACTTACTAGACACCTTCAGAAGGCACTGTATATCTGTACAAGATAATAATGTATAACATATCTAATATTATGATATGTACATATAATATTGTCAGTAGGGGAAAATACTTACTAGACACCTTCAGAATGCTCTTCATCTCGAAATGTTCCATTCTTAGTCCTGTATGGATATAGGTAGACTCCTTACAAAATATTCCATATGACAATTGAGGCCATGAGGCCATTGAGGATTTTACTCTGCATCCACATGTTGAATTTTACAAAATTGCATAACCTAATTAAAAACTGAAAGTCCACTAGCAAGCTTTGAATATACAGTACATTGGTATGAAATATCTACACAAAATCTAAATGCAGGTCTAAAACCAATGCCAGATGCCATTGTTGAAGCTATGAAAAGTACTTCAATAGATAGGGAAAAATTATCCTACATATAATCTACATCATAATGAAAACTATAGCAATTGATTTATCAATACATTAGATGAATTTCAGATAAAAATAAAAACAAAATTCTACCCTGTGTGTAGGTTGGGCTGGTGCACAGTCTTGGTGGTGGTGGTGGTGGTGGTAAGACTGGACAGCAAACCCTGCTCATCTACCGTTTTTTTTTGTTACATGCTGAGGTGGTTTGATCTTTGGACCTTTTATGGTCCTTGGCAAAGCGAGAAGGAGGTGGATCTTTCTGCAAGTATAATCAGTCTACCTTCCCAGAAATCCATTTTGGCTTTACCATAAGGAGAGTGCGTGAGATTCTAGTCTAGTGATAAGGAGTCACGAAGGTCACACATTGATTACAAAAAGTGACAAGAATGTTTGTACCCAGACCATACCGCGTACTTTCATTCACCTGTCTGAAAAATTTCTGATGTACAAAGATCTGATGTGATTGGTCAAAAAACATTAGAATTGGGCTGAATGCCAGTCCGGCCTGCCATTCCTTGGCCTGCACTAGGCGAAACAAAATAATTGTCTGGACCGGACCAAAAACCATGGTCCGTGGAAATTAAGTCCGGACAGATTTGGCTGTGAAGAGACAGAATCATTTGATCATTTGGTTTGGTACTGTCCATATGTAGCTTGTTTTTGGTCGCAGGTTCAGGAATTGCTGAAGAATTGCAACATTTACCTGGCGCTAACTCTGTGTCACGACTCCCCTCCTTGTTCGGGCAGGCTTCAGCGTTCGTTGTCACGGCTTACTAGCCACTGCCCCCCCCCCAATTATCATCATCACATTTGGCTTGTCTTGTCAATCACACACACCTGGTTTTATCCCCTCATTAGTCCGTGTATAAGTGTTCCCTCTGCCCTCTTGTCCTTGTGGGTGATTGTTTCATTGTGAGAGTAGTGTAGCTCGGTGGAGCTACTCGTACCATTTTGTTACCAGGGTAGATTTTCCCCTGTGCCTATGTATTATTGGATTCTACCGTTACAGTGTATTTGCCAGGGATGATAGTTTCCCCTGTGCCTGTTTCGTTTGTTGCTATTCCAGCGCATTTGTGTGTAAAGACGGAATAAACTCTGTATTCGGTGATTACCCTCCTGCGCCTGACTCCTTCCATCACCCTCATCACACTCTGCAAATAGCATTGCTGGGTGATTTGAAAAGTCATAGTCAATCAATCAATAATATAGTAATACTTTTAGCTAAACCTTTTAGCTTTAATTTACAATCTGTAGAAACTATGAGAATAGAAAGGTTCAGAACTTTTCTGAAACAGCACAGTTGAAAAATACATAGCAAATAGAAATAAAAACTGGATGGTGTTCAGAGATGGATGGCAGGGGTTGAGTGGAGCTGAAGGGTGGGACTAACAACAACAAGATAACTAATGTAAAATATACTGTGTCCGTAAAATGTTTATAGGTTCAGAAATTTTGTGAAACAGCACAGTAAAAAATATATGGCAAATAGAAATCAAAACTGGATAGGTCTTCAGAGATCAATGAGTGGGGTTTGATGGGATCAAAAACAAACAAAAAGAGAACTATTGTAAAATACACAGTGTCCGTAAAATTTATATAGTATGTAGAAGCTGGAAGTAGAAGCCTAAGCGTTGTTTTCCATTCGTTTACTCCAATTAGGGGAGGGGTGGTAGGGTTACGGGAAAATAATAAAGGAAAATATCTAAAGATATATATACTGTATATACAAAAAAGACATATGGGGGATTGGAAATGATGCCGACAATTACATTGATGGAAGCCACAATCTATCTGCAATATTAAAGCTGATCTACCCCCTAAAAGACATCCAAAAGGCGTAGGCGTCGGTCCGTGCTTACTGAGGTATAGCCTACACTGTCGCCTGGAAATCTGTCCTTTGGTCTGGAGTCCAAATTGGAGATTTTTGGTTCCAACCACCGTGGCTTTGTGAGACGCGGTGTGGGTGAACGGATGATCTCCGCATGTGTATTTCCCACCGTAAAGCATGGAGGAGGAGGTGTTATGTTGTGGTGGTGCTTTGCTGGTGACACTGTCTGTGATTTATTTAGAATTCAAGGCACACTCAACCAGCATGGCTATCACATCATTCTGCAGTGATACACCATCCCATCTGGTTTGGGCTTAGTGGGACTATCGTTTGTTTTTCAACAGGACTATGACTCAACACACCTCCAGGCTGTGTAAGGGCTATTTTACCAAGAAGGAGAGTGATGGAATGCTGCATCAGATGACCTGGCCTCCACAATCCCCCGACCTCAACCCAATTGAGATGGTTTGGGATGTGTCGGACCACAGAGTGAAGGAAAAGCAGCCAACAAGTGCTCAGCATATGTGGGAACTCCTTCAAGACTGTTGGAAAAGCATTCCAGGTGAAGCTGGATGAGAGAATGCCAAGAGTGTGCAAAGCTGTCATCAAGGCAAAGGGTGGCTATTTGAAGAATCTCAAACTGAAAATATATTTTGATTTATTTAACACTTTTTTGGTTACTACATGATTATATATGTGTTATTTCATAGTGTTGATGTCTTGACTATTATTCTACAATGTAGAAAATAATAAAAAATAAATAAAAACCCTGGAATGAGTAGGTGTGTCCAAACTGGACTGGTGCTTTATATAATTATTTTATTTGTTTTTTTGTTGCCTGTTTTGCATGTTATTTTGACATTATTACGTGTCACATCAGTTTTCAAACAATGAAAAAAAATATATATTTCAGTTAATAAAGCTGCATACAAACATGGTCTCTTTTATGCTTTCTTGAGTAAGGCAGCTCCAAAATGCAGGTGTTTCAGCCTAGCTCAGTGCATTCTGTGGTGGTGGGGCAGCCAGCGGAAAATACGGAGCGTAGGGGTTGGTCATGTTCTCTAGTTGCACCGTGATTGGCTCAGTGTTCTGTCACTCATGGGGACACTATGTCACTGCAAAATCTACGGGGAGAGCTCGAAAATTCAAGCCCCTTGGGAGTTATCATAGAGTTACTTTAGATGTGCCCATCCAAGAAGCCTCAAGGTCATTGTCCACAGATAAAATTACATCAAAGTACATCATCTCTACCGGATTGGACTGATCATGTCAACATCATACTTTCAAAATCTTAGCTAGCAAGCTAGACAAGCAGTCATCATCATGAATCAAGTCGACAATCTACTGGCAAATCCTTTTCAATCCTTGTCATATGAAGAGAAATTATAGATAAAACGTATCGGTGCTCATCGGCCATTGGACATAAACAGAACACAACAAGTTGGAAATCACAAATTCAACAATGAGTGGTTTGGAAGGAATCAGTGGCTAACTGCAAGCGTTATTCAGTGGAGTGGGTGTTTGGTCCAAGTCTGGGTTTAAGGGTCTCTTTTCCTAGATTAAAAGGATAAACATTCAACACCATGGGCCAGAAAAGGTTGAATACATTGGCCATGCTGTCAATCCAGCATGACTTCTGCCGCTTTCAAAACAACTGGAAACTCGGAACTGGGAAATCTCAGACTTCAGTGAGTTCAAGACAACTGGGAACTTGGAAAAAAACGAGCTCCGACTGGGAAAATACGCTTTGAATGGTCATCCAACTCGGAATTCCAAGTCAGGAACTCGGGCCTCTTTCTAGAGCTCCGACCTAAAGATCACTGACATCATGATTCGATCTTGTTTTTTTTCTTCGAGTTCCCAGTTGTCTTGAAAGCACCATACATCCAGAGAATGCCAGACTTTGATTATAAAGTTTGATGACAAAATTTGCCCACAAGAAGGACCGCCGCGGCACCTTCCTGTTCAAGTGAGCACAGCACAACAAAGTCAAAAAACGTCTAGTATGCTGCTGCATAAATGATGTAATATGCCAGGGAGATATGTATAATGTAGCTAAGAAAGTAATACTAAGTGTATGTTGTGTAGTAAGCTGTTAGTAGCCCATGTGCCTCACCCTAATATTTTGGTCCCTTTCCCCCTCATAACTTAGCCTACTGTTCTGACTTGGTGGTGCACATGTAGCCTATAGCTTGTTTTAGAGAAATGTAATCATCAAATATTGTAAGAGCTTTCATTGTCTGCTTATATGCCACCTGAACCACCCATGTTCTGAATTCTGTCGCTGTACATTTCAAAAGTGCTGAACAAATAGATATATTGTCTACGTCCGTCCTGGCTCGCTCATTAATGTTTTAATCGAAGTTACGGACTGCCTCTTATCCGCTCGTCGTCCCCTTATGCCATAGTTTGTACATATCAATTGTCAGTATAATCCACATTTGTTTAAGCAAGTCAGCCATAACAGCTATGTTTTTTTAGGCCCTAACAGTTTGTGGGCACCATTATAGTACAATTAATGTATTGTTTAGTGTTGTGTTGTGTAGTGGCTTTGCTGGCATGCATCTAAAATAAATTGTGGGAGTTTGCCGCACCAAGATTTACATGCTAAAATCGCCACTGCTGTTAATGTTACGTTATCATGGCTAACTCTCTCCTTCTGAATAAACTACCATAAATCTGCCTGGTTGGCTAACCCAATCTGAACTTTGTTGCTGCCAAATAATTTCCCTACTGTTACTAAGACAAAAGGCAATGGCGATCATAAATTTGATAGATATGAATGCAGAGGTGAGAGTTTGCATGGTTCTTTGCGTCATGCATCATCCTGACCAATCATGATCACACCTGAATTACTTACTGATAGTTGGAACTGGGAATTAGTGTCTAATAGTTGGTTTGCCAGGTGAAATGTCGCAATGAATGGCCCAGAAAGGCCTTTCCACACTGTACGTCGGATTCAGTCTTTTACGATAATTACATGTCACACTGTGTGATGTTACCAAATTAAACTCTTGAGATCAACATGGCCAGATTGTACAATTTGCTTCAATTTGGTCGTCACATTCTGCGATTGGCTTGGGAGGCTACATCAGCTGACATAGGCGGCTACATCAACTGCAGCAATGCATTTGATCTGCACATGTGCCAGCACCAGCAGCGCAAGCCTCCTCTATGCTTATGTACAAGTTAAGTGAATTTGGAAAAACTGAAAGTATGCATCTTACAAACGTTATATGTCAGAATCAAATAGGCTTCCCCAAAATAACATGGTCGCTGTGGTAGAACATTTATTTTGATTGCCGATTTTGTGCATTTATCAAAATCCCATCAGGTAGCCTGATTTGAGTGTTATGTAAACAAGATTATTAGGAAATTGTTCTTCTTGCAAAGCATTTAAATGTTTAAATCAAACTATTTTAATAATCTGACTATTCACAACAATCGTATTATTGTGTGCATACTCAGTGCCGGAGGTGTTCCTATTGGTCAGTCACCGGGATAGGCTCGTAACACCAGCCACACAACATGATAAAGGCTAGAAATGTCTGACACTGCCAGAACTTTGTTGTTGCCTATGACTACACGTAGTGGTACTTGATCGTCAGACCTAGACCCTGTCACGCTGAACGAGTCAAGACGTCCGCCACCAATACGACTTAACGACGTAGAACGACTTGCTGACAAGTGGTCCCTTACTTCAAGATCGAAGCTTGATAAAGGCTACAAGTTCTTCGTTGAAGGTTACCTGTTTGATTATGAAGGTACGTGTTTATCTTTATTTAGCTTAAATTAGCCCTATGCTAGCGAAGGTTATGAGCTGACGAGTTTCTGTTTTGCAGCCTCTTTTTAATATTACTGCTGTTTGTATCGACCGTAAGATAAGAGTCAGTAATGTATTAATGGCTAATGCTGCGCCTTTTCTCCCAATCACTGTATTGAAACAGTCTCAAGTGTAGTTAACGGTGAGGTGACAGTGAGAGGGCGATGTTACAGGTCCATGAAGAAAAATGAGGAGGCTCATCGGCTTCAGGTTTCTCAGATAAACAGTTCTCTAACATTATGATAAGATAGGTTAAGATATATTATTTATTTGTAATACTAACCAGGAGAAGGACGGCAGGCATAGTCGTGATCGTTTGTCACTGCAGGCAAAGCACCCTCTGTGCTGTCAGGCATCTCATGATCAGAATCATCCAGGACAGCAACACCAAGACGCTTTCTTGCTCGCTGGTAAACTGACTCCCGAGCTTGTGAGCCGCCTCCTATATGTGTGAAATTAACCATATGCTTGTCATGATACATTTTGGTAATCACTTTTCAGTCCCTAAAATGACAAAATGTAGCAGCTATATTGCATCAGGATTAAATTATTAAACATTTTGTACAAGTAATATATTATTGGATTACAGTAGTATTACGTTTAACGCTGTCTACCTATCCTTACCCCAATCATTCCAGTGGAATCTAGACGGCACTGATCCCTGTTTAATACGGATCCGTCCACTGGCCGATGTGTATCTATCCTCAGGGGGAAAGTGCTGACTGCAAACAAAGGTGCTCCCACGAAGAATCTTAAAACTTGGTCCCTCATCTCTCCTGATCGCCCTCACCCAACGGGCACGTATTTCTCCATCAACAGGGAAATCGTGAAAACTCAGATACGGGAATTTCTGTTTGTTGTTTGAACAAAATGGTACACTGCAATAGCATCTTCTCGAAGATTGTGCCATGCTTCGGTGTTGGATGGGATACTGTTGCGATACAGACACCGGGAGAAAAGAAACAGCTAAATTAACATTCAGCTTTGACCAGGAATCAATATTTATCTAGCTATCATGCACAACAGTATTTGAATAGGTGAGTTACTATACATTCATGAATAAACTAACTGCCTAACAAAGGGTCAGATAGCTAGCTAAGTAAACTTGTTACATTACAGCCAGGCAGCAATGTAACGCTACCTTTTAACGTTATCGGTATCTGGTACTAAGTTGTTGTTAGCTAACGTTAGCCCACTTTTAAGTAACTAAGGCAGTGAACAATTATGAATTAACAATAACGTTAGCAAGTTACAAACCATTGCATATACGTAAACATTATTACTCTTAACTTTACTAATTTAACTTAAACGTACCTTTTGGAATTTCTTCAAGTAGCTAGCTTGCTAGTTAGTGGTCAACAGTTGTATTTTCGTTGAGAAGTCTCAGGTTACGGGCGAACGGAAGTGAAGTTAACCTGCTACGCGGAAAGGCGGAAGTTAGATGACGTCATCGTGAAAAGGGCCTATTGTTTACGAGCTAAGAATTTGCCCATGACGTGAAAATGTTGTTTGGGGACAGCAAAATCGTACAGTCGATGCGGGCCTTAAAGACCCATAATAGTGTGTGTGTGTGTGTGTGTGTGTGTGTGTGTGTGTGTGTGTGTGCGTGTGTGCGTGCGCGTGCGCGTGCATGTATTGGAAGGGGGTCCTTTTACAGTTTTGAGTGTTGATCCTCTGTAGCTCAGCTGGTAGAGCACGGCGCTTGTAACGCCAAGGTAGTGGGTTCGATCCCCGGGACCACCCATACCACAAAAATGTATGCACGCATGACTGTAAATCGCTTTGGATAAAAGCGTCTGCTAAATGGCATATTATTATTGATCACTCACACGTCAATGTAATTTAGCCTAATAATCTCCAGGTTGCAACAGAAACCAACGGTCACCTCCACTTTGGGACAGACAATCAGTCCCCAGTCAAAGACAATAGTCATTAGCTAGATACAAAATGTAAGAACATAAACATAGGCTATCTTTGACGACCCCAACAGTAGCTCCTGGAGGTTAACGTTTATGGAAGGTTACGTAAATAAACTCTGTTGACTCTACTGGTTAATTCCCTCAGGTGTAGGTGGGGTTAACCCGTTAAGTGTTTATCCAGGGAATGACGGAAAAAGTGAAACAACCAAGCAACTTCTCACCATGCAGGTGAAAGGTTAAAATTGACACTGATTATTCCAGTGAGGAAAACTAACAGGGGAGAATAGACACAGGTAATAAAAACTTTGTCACTCAATGACGGTGTCCCAAATGACACCCTATTCCCTATATAGTGCACTACCTTTTACCCTATGGGCCATGATCAAAAGTAGTGCACTATATAGGGAATAGGGTGCCATTTGGAACGCATACAATGTCATATGTGAGAGTTGACAAAGCCACACTGTAAGTATTTTTTCAGTTTCCATTTATTTTCATAATCTGTAGACTACTACAGGTATTATTTGAATATGTCCCTGTAATTCTTAATCAAATGTAAAAAAACAACAACAAAAAAAGACGAAGCAAACAAATTCACCTTATAGACTTTGTGGAATGTCACCTTGGCTTTAAATAAGGCCATTAACAGAGCCCAGTAAGATCAGTGAGAACATGTCTTCCTTCCCAGTCAGAACCAGTGGTAGTGACTTAGGGTCCCATTTGGTGTGACATCATTATAAATGCTCTTATTATTTTGAGTTAATCTGACCTAAGCATGACTAAACAGTTGTTGTCTATGAGTACAGTACCTTACAAATATATACATATAAGTAAACACATATAAAAAAAAAAGATATGTTCTTGAATTTGAGATGCGTTCACTTCTGATGAGAAGACTTTTAGACATTGATTGAGACTTTTATATTCCAGGTTGTTATTTCATTATATTTTAGGAGTGCAACAGTTAATTGAGACCCCTTTCTGAAAACCCTTGTAGTTTAGTTCCAGTTCTTGAAGAACTGCTTGAAGACGATCGTCTCCCTCCCCTGTGGTAGTATCTCCACCTGTAAGACCATGCAGAGATTTGACTACCTGGTCATGACTGTTTATATAGTGCATCATATACACATAAACAACCCTACTATATACACACAAAGCATTTATGACACTGGGTTCATGACCTGGTGGTTACATAACACACTGCGCAGTGCATTGTTACAATGGAGGAAGACTTACATGTCATTCGATTTGACTTACTGAACTTAAATGTGCAAATTCTACTGTTTTCAGGTATAATAAAATCATGACGCTATCACTTGCTGATGTTATGCTGCTGGGTAGACTTAAAGGCTGGACAATGAGCAAATAATGTTTGGGTTTTTGTCGTTTGTGAGATCATGCTTGACTCACCTGCGTTTTCATCCTGGGGTAGTTCATCTGTTGGATGAAGTCATCTGCCATTTTCAAGGCCTCCCTCTTCTCCTCTGCATTGGCTCCCATACCTGTCAATCATAACAAGTGGGATAATGTCTCACCATGTCTCACCTCAGTCTAACCCATAGAGGTCTCAGTAAGGTTTCGCCATGATAATGTCAATTCACTTTATTTAATACAAACCCTGATTAAATTCGTTTTGAATTAGACATTGGATATCTAGTTGGATATCACAAAAATTATTAGAGGAATACATTTCATGGAGCAGAAATATGTTAGTCGAGGTTCACATGTTTTCCTCACCTTTCCAAACAAAGATCTTTCCATTGGCCCCGTTGTCTAGAATAAAGCAGTCGTCACGCACCAGAAGGTCCTTGGCAAATGGGCTTTTTTCAGAGACATTGGTCAGCTTCATCTTACCTGTCGCATCGGACACCTGTGGAGGATAACAACACCGGCCATGACTTATAGTTAATTTGTGAACTAGTTCACCTTGTTTGCTCTTGGAAAAAAAGAGCCCCAAAGTATAGCTAGCTGTGCTGTGCAGTCTACATTCCAAAATACCTCAAATGGGGTGAGCTATCCATTTACAATAGTACTGTTGTAATGCAATAGAACATTTCTTGAGATTCACCACTGTTTATTAATAGAATTCTAATGTCCAGCTACCTTGTAAAGGGAGGCGGAGTTGGAGATGTCTGCTTGACTGTCCTCTTCTGGAGTGCTCTCTGCCAGCTCTAGCATTGGTCCCAGCACCTGTCAATCACATGGCAGAGTGGAACATGGATTGTGGTGAGGTTTATGAAACATTTATTTTAAGTTTGATCCTCAACATCATGTCAGCAACCTCAGTCCACAAAACAAAGTGTTTGTGAGTGGACTAGTCAATGAAAGAATGGAACAAATTGTAACTTGTCTGACTAACTATCGACCCATTACCTTCCTATACCTCAATATCAAAGTCTATAAAATATGCTTAGACATTACAGGATTGACAAGTCTCTAGGTCTGTGACTTTGTTTTCGTTTGCTTTGGGAGAAAAGGACTATGTCGGCCATTTTACCTTGAGCATCTCCGGCGACTCCTCTCCCTCACTGATGTCAACGATGCGTGCTTTACCGTGCCGCTCAGTGTCGCGGATCAGGCTAGCGATCTCACGCGACTTCTGCTTCTCAAACATGTTGGCCTGCGAGCCGATCCATGAAAATATGGTCTAAAGACATAAACAGACATGTGGATCTGAAGTGGAAAAGATATGATTTGATAGTAGGCCTACTTTATTGATCACTAAATGAGCGGAAATTTGACATTTGGATTTGGCAAGGCAACAATGTAATGTTCTCCCCATCCTTACTCTAACCTCTCCCCCTCCCCCTCCCTGTCACCTCTCCCCCTCTCTTCCCTGCCCCTTCTCTCCCCTTTTACCTCTCTCCCTCTCTCTCCCTCTACCTCTCTCTCACCTCTCCTAGGTCCAGGATGAAGCAGTCTCCCTTGTTGAAGCTCTGCCAGCTCAGCTCCACCTCCTTGGCACGGATGTTGCGCTTCCCTTTGATCTGGTACAGCCTGTGGACTGGCCCTGACCCACCTTGGGGCCGCCTGAAACCTGACTCCACACCACCCTCCTACACGTGTGTGTGTGCGTGTGAGTGTGTGCGCGTACGTATGTGTGTGTTTTTGAGAGAGAGTGAGTGACAGAGGAAAATAAAGAAGGAAAGAGAAAGGTAACAATCTGAAAATGATGTTTATGTTCGCTTTTTCTTATCTGTATCTAACAGGAAGTCTCTGGGTTTTACCAGCTATCGCTTCAACGGGAGAGATATGGAATGATATGGCAAGAAATCAGCAGCATATGATGAAATTATGCAAAGTGATGCTTTTTGCATTTACTGGCAATATAGGACTAAAGCCTAACACGTTAGGATACACATGCATTACTCATAGTGGGCCCAAATCTAATGTGGGAAACACATGGATTACAAAGTTCCAGATGCAGTAAATCACACATTGATGTCCATGGGAAACACAAAAGTTTGCACATAAAATCCCATACGAGTGCATTTATCAAGTTAAGATTGGGCCTTGAGTTGTCAGTAAACATGAACTAGGAGTATCCTCCCTCCTCCTGCCCACCTTGTAGCTGACCCCCCTGTGGAAGAGATTCATGAACTCTGGGGCCTCGTAGCCCTGGACCTGGCGATGCTGGATGGGGTCACCACCCAGGAAGTTGTCCAGCTGGGTAGCCAGCATGGCACATGCCACCTGCTCGTCACGAGATGACTTCTCACCTGGGGGGAAGAGAGAGGGGGGGGGGGGGGGGGGGGGTTTGTGAAGGGAAAGAGTAAAAAAAAAAAGAGAATGGTCAGGAGGTAAAGGGAGAGAGAGAGAGGTGGGGTGAAATGGGGGGGGGGGGGGGGGGGGGGTTGCATAGACTAAACGAGTGAGTGAGCGTCAGGTAAATAAACACAAAATAGGGGTCAGGGTCATGCAAGAGGTGGAGGGAGGGGTCATGTAAGAGATGGAGGGAGGGGTCATGTAAGAGGTGGAGGGAGGGGTCGTGTAAGAGGTGGAGGGAGGGGTCATGTAAGAGGTGGAGGGAGGGGTCACGGACGAGGGGAGGAGGTGCTTTTTGGAGAGGAGCCATCTTCCATGCAATGACAATCGGCTTAGTGTCACCTAAGCACCGGATACATGCTGGAAACAACAGCCACATTTGAGTACTGTAACAGCCCTACTGCATTTTTAATGAGCACACACACACAGAACCAAGCCCTTCCCAGCCCTTTTCCCTGGGGAGCTCTTCTCCTCTTTTATTCCCCCCATCCCTCTTCTCTCATCATCCTTCCATCCGTCAGTCTTAGTCTCCGTCCTCACATAATCAGTCGTTGGGTCAGCGTCGTGGCGTGTGTGTCATCACTATTAGCATAAGGGTTATTAGCTTGTCAACCGCAGGGAGGTTAATTAGGTGTGTACACAATGGGTTGGCTAGTAGTTTGGATATACAGAGCAGTACTGGATACAAGCTTACGAGACCCCATTCATGGAAGATAATAGAGGGCTCTTATGCCAAGACTGAGGCATCCTTTTCCATCCATGCCCTGAGATGACCGCAACTCACCCATTCCATAACAGTTAGTTGAGTAGCACACTCAAATTCTCCTACACCTGTTTCTATTGAAGCTCTGGCAAATATCAGTATGGATCAAAACATGGTCTTGTACTTCAATAAAGGGTAAGTGTTGGAGTGTTTTATTACATACTTCTGCAGGTTTTCATGCCCAGTACCTTATTAGTGGGGCCTCATGAGTTTCTCATGAACATGTGACTTGACCAGGAAAATCTCCAGGACCTCTCGGAGTAGGAGTGTTGATCTAGTATCAGTTTAGCCTTTTAGATCATAATGGATAAGACAGGGGAACCTGATCTTAGATCAGCACTCCTACTCTGACACGCTATGTGAATACAGGCCCTGGTCAGTAAAAACTCTGGACCCTACTTATTTGACGTTTACTGTAACACGCATCCATTTTCCATAACCTCACCTATCCACATGTGCAGGTCTGCCCCCTGGTCCCCCCTGTGCTCCAGCACCAGGTAGGAGTCTCCGTTGAAGAAGGCCCCCACCTCGGCCGGATCCAGCAGCACCGCCTTCATCTTCTCCACCCGCCACACCTTCAGCCCTGGCTCCCGTGTCTCTGGTCCAAACTGGCCCGGCGCTGCTTGGCAGGGGAACATTCTGCATTGGGAAGAAGGGGAGGAGAGAGTGGGTCAGTGGATGCAATGGTGGCAGAGGATGGATGGATGGTAGGATGTAGGATTATGGGGGGGAGGGCGGCTGCCTGGAAAGGGAGCATTCTGCACTGGGAAGAGGGAGCGGTTCAGGGGAGTTGAGGGTGGAGGATAAATTAATGGTAGAGTTGGGGAGGGGTGAGTTGGAAGAGAAAGGGTTTAAGTGGAGTCTGTTGTATTTTCTAGGGTGTGGGAAGGGGTATATTTCTTTGCTATGAAATGAAACAAATAGAGATGGGGAGTTGTTTCCGCTGGAGGTGGCAGAAGCAGTCAACTAAGGGAAATCGCTTTCACTTGGCAAGAACACCGATTTCCATATTGGAAAGCAGACAGAGAATAGAGCGCAGCAGTGGAGGATAGGTGACAACTCATATAGCCATAGCATGATAACAATCACTATTTCTGCCGGAAGACAGAAAACAGAGAGACAGGTGGAAATGAGTAGAAGAGAACATGCAAAATGAGGGGTCAAGTTGCTTGATGAAGAACATAGGGGTAGATGGGTTACATCATTGTTGTGTAATACGACAACATTGCAGGCAAACCGACCCATACAACACTAGTGGTTGTACAAAAGAGGGTGTGCCTACAGGACAAGTTGTATCACATCTCAAATGCTGAACTAAATATCTCTCCCTCTCTCTTGCTCTGTCTCACTTTCTCTTCTCTGTCTCTCTCTACCCACAGTTGCCAAAGCTAGAACATACACAGCTTTATCGATTCATAGTACCTCTGCCAATGTCATTTCCCTGTAGCAATCCGATTCAGTAAGTGATAGAGTCATATTCCAGGGTAAATGAATGTTGGATGTTATGCAGACTACAGTCGTGGTCAAAAGTTTTGAGAATGACACAAGAATTGGTCTGCACAAAGTTCGCTGCTTCAGTGTTATGACATATTTTTGTCAGATGTTACTATGGTATACTGAAGTATAATTACAAGCATTCCATAAGTGTCAAAGGCTTTTATTGACAATTACATTAAGTTTATGGAAAGAGTCAATATTTGCAGTGTTGACCCTTCTTTTTCAAGACCTCCGCAATCCGCCCTGGCATGCTGTCAATTCACTTCTGGGCCACATCCTGACAGATGGCAGCCCATTCTTGCATAATCAATGCTTGGAGTTTGTCAGAATTTGTGGGTTTTTGTTTGTCCACCCGCCTCTTGAGGATCGACCACAAGTTCTCAATGGGATTAAGGTCTGGGGAGTTTCCTGGACATGGACCCAAAATGTCGATGTTTTGTTCGCCGAGCCACTTAGTTATCACTTTTGCCTTATGGCAAGGTGCTCCATCATGCTGGAAAAGGCATTGGTCATCACCAAACTGTTCTTGGATGGTTGGGAGAAGTTGCTCTCGGAGGATGTGTTGGTACCATTCTTTATTCATGGCTGTGTTCTTAGGCAAAATTGTGAGCGAGCCCACTCCCTTGGCTGAGAAGCAACCCCTCACATGAATGGTCTCAGGATGCTTTACTGTTGGCATGACACAGGACTGATGGTAGCGCTCACCTTGTCTTCTCCGGACAAGGTGTTTTCCGGATGCCCCAAACAATCGGAAAGGGGATTCATCAGAGAAAACGACTTTACCCCAGTCCTCAGCAGTCCAATCCCTGTACCTTTTGCAGAATATCAGTCTGTCCCTGATGTTTTTCCTGGAGAGAAGTGGCTTCCTCGCTGCCCTTCTTGACACCAGGCCATCCTCCAAAAGTCTTCGCCTCACTGTGCGTGCAGATGCACTCACATCTGCCTGCTGCCATTCCTGAGCAAGCTCTGCAATGGTGGTGCCCCGATCCCGCAGCTGAATCAACTTTAAGAGACGGTCCTGGCGCTTGCTGGACTTTCTTGGGCGCCCTGACGCCTTCTTCACAACAATTGAACCTCTCTCCTTGAAGTTCTTGATGATCCGATAAATGGTTGATTTAGGTGCAATCTTACTAGCAGCAATATCCTTGCCTGTGAAGCCCTTTTTGTGCAAAGCAATGATGACAGCATGTGTTTCCTTGCAGGTAACCATGGTTAACAGAGGAATAACAATGATTTCAATCACCACCCTCCTTTTAAAGCTTCCAGTCTGTTATTCTAACTGAATCAGCATGACAGAGTGATCTCCAGCCTTGTCCTCGTCAACACTCTCACCTGTGTTAACGAGAGAATCACTGACATGATGGCAGCTGGTCCTTTTGTGGCAGGGCTGAAATGTAGTGGACATGTTTTTTTGGGATTAAGTTCATTTTCTTGGCAAAGAGGGACTTTGCAATTAATTGCAATTCATCTGATCACTCTTCATGACATTCTGGAGTATATGCAAATTGCCATCATCAAAACTGAGGCAGCAGACTTTGTGAAAATTAGTATTTGTGTCATTCTCAAAACGTTTGACCACGACTGTACACTCAAGTCACCTGTCCTTAGACAGTTGTTCTGACTACACTAAACGTGGCCAGTGTCCTTTGGCAGACATTTGTTTGTGTGTAAAATGGAAGGCAGGTGGAATATCATGGGAGACCGGTAGTGTTGATGTTTATTGATTAGAACCTATTCACCCTGAAACAGAGCACTATGTTGATTGTTTTGTATGGTCTGTCCTCATTCAATGGGATGTCCTGTCATTTGTCTTAAATGGGCTGCTTCACTGTCAATCCAGCAACATTACACCTAAAACCAATAAATAAAATGGGTACATTGAGGGAAAAAAGTATTTGATCCCCTGCTGATTTTGTACGTTTGCCCACTGACAAAGAAATGATCAGTCTATAGTTTTAATGGTAGGTTTATTTGAATAGTGAGAGACAGAATAACAACAAAAAAATTCAGAAAAACGCATGTCAAAAATGTTATAAATTGATTTGCATTTTAATGAGGGAAATAAGTATTTGACCCCCTCTCAATCAGAAAGATTTCTGGCTCCCAGGTGTCTTTTATACAGGTAACGAGCTGAGATTAGGAGCACACTCTTAAAGGGAGTGTTCCTAATTTCAGCTTGTTAACTGTATAAAAGACACCTGTCCACAGAAGCAATCAATCAATCAGATTCCAAACTCTCCACAATGGCCAAGACCAAAGAGCTCTCCAAGGATGTCAGGGATAAGATTGTAGACCTACACAAGGCTGGACTGGGCTACAAGACCATCGCCAAGCAGCTTTGTGAGAAGGTGACAACAGTTGGTGCGATTATTCGCAAATGGAAGAAACACAAAATAACTGTCAATCTCCCTCGGCCTGGGGCTCCATGCAAGATCTCACCTCGTGGAGTTGCAATGATCATGAGAACGGTGAGGAATCAGCCCAGAACTACACGGGAGGATCTTGTCAATGATCTCAAGGCAGCTGGGACCATAGTCACCAAGAAAACAATTGGTAACACACTACGCCGTGAAGGACTGAAATCCTGCAGCGCCCGCAAGTTCCCCCTGCTCAAGAAAGCACATATACAGGGCCGTCTGAAGTTTGCCAATGAACATCTGAATGATTCAGAGGAGAACTGGGTGAAAGTGTTGTGGTCAGATGAGACCAAAATCAAGCTCTTTGGCATCAACTCAACTCGCCGTGTTTGGAGGAGGAGGAATGATGCCTATGACCCCAAGAACACCATCCCCACCGTCAAACATGGAGGTGGAAACATTATGCTTTGGGGGTGTTTTTCTGCTAAGGGGACAGGACAACTTCACTGCATCAAAGGGACGATGGACAGGGCCATGTACTGTCAAATCTTGGGTGAGAACCTCCTTCCCTCAGCCAGGGCATTGAAAATGGGTCGTGGATGGGTATTCCAGCATGACAATGACCCAAAACACACGGCGACAAAGGAGTGGTTCATGAAGAAGCACATTAAGGTCCTGGAGCGGCCTAGCCAGTCTAACCAGCCTAACCAGCCTTAATCCCATAGAAAATCTGTGGAGGGAGCTGAAGGTTTGAGTTGCCAAACGTCAGCCTCGAAACCTCAATGACTTGGAGAAGATCTGCAAAGAGGAGTGGAACAAAATCCCTCCTGAGATGTGTGCAAACCTGGTGGCCAACTACAAGAAACGTCTGACCTCTGTGATTGCCAACAAGGGTTTTGCCACCAAGTACTAACTCATGTTTTGCAGAGGGGTCAAATACTTATTTCCCTCATTAAAATGCAAATCAATTTATAACATTTTTGACATGCGTTTTTCTGGATTTTGTTGTTGTTATTCTGTCTCTCACTGTTCAAATAAACCTACCATTAAAATTATAGACTGATCATGTCTTTGTCAGTGGGCAAACGTACAAAATCAAATACTTTTTTCCCCCTCACTGTATATGGGTAATAAGCAGGTTTGGTGGTGTATTATAGCTGTAGTATGTTACAGTAACACTACTCACCAAAGGGTTCACCCAACTCTCACAGAACATGTGTAGATGCACTATAATTACACTGTAGGCTACCTACCAGTAGGTAACCCTAACCCTACCAGTAGGTAACTACCATGTGAAGTGGGAGCCAGACTGTCAAAGACTTGTCATGGTTTCCACTCTGTATTTCTAATATTAGTATGAAGGAAAATGGCCTGGGTATTGGGTAACCTTGAAAGAAGCCAGTCCTAAATGGCAATGAAAACGTTTAGGAAAAATATGTCCCAAAGAAACGAAAAATGAAAAACACGTGTTCATAAAAAGCAAAAAAACAATGTTGATTTTACTAAAACTGTAAAAACTCTTGATATGGCAATGAGTTTACATTTCTCAGTTATACAGGCGCCACTGAAAAACCCAGTACTGATAAAGTGTGATTGAATTGGGTTGGCACGATGATTGCCCATTGTAAAAGGTTACATGACGATGAGAGGTCATGGATAGAGTCAGTAGCTTCAAGCGCTCATAAATGTCATGAGTCTGCAACCTTTTGAAGTAAAAGCTCCACCCATGAGACAAAGAATATGGCTGTTTGATCGGCATCTATGGAAACTGCCACTATGACTCACTCCCTCCCTCCACAACCACACAGAGCTCACCATGGTTAACAATCGACTGAGTGTTCTTACTGAGAGAGAAAAATAAAGAGTGGTGCAAACAAGCTAAGTACTTGCTGGTCGCTATCCTTGATTAGTCTTTAGATAAAATACATATACACTGATATGGCAACAGCAGTCTTTCGCTCTTTCATAACAGTGTTTGAGTGTTAGTGAGCTATAAAGCAGAAGAGATACACAACACAGGAAGCCTAAACCCAGCTAAAGAATCAGCTAAACCCTTTCCTGATGCTACTAGGGCTGAATCACTTAATACTGTTGAGACTTTGTGCCACAAACACAAAACAATACCTTCAGTACCAATACTAAAACATGTGAACCTGAATCAATCACTTTCTCTACATCACAGGTAATGATTTAGGTATAAGGAAGTGCAGGCAAGGAAGTTCATGCACGTCCCTGCTGAAAACAGCAGCATAGACCAGCATAGGCTGGTGCACTGCTGTGTTTTTGCTGGTGCCTTGGCTGTGTTTTTGCTGGTGACTAGCAAAACCATCATCAAAGTGCTTCATTATTTAAGACAGTACATTACATATATCATAAGGCCTTATTTTGAGGGCCTAGTTTTTCCCTAATACAGTGGCCACATCCAGCCTGCAAGTCACATTATGCTGGCTTGCAAAGTTATGTTTAATTCCTATTGGAATCCAGCCAGAGTGGGGATATCCAACAATTGTAACTTTTATTCACCCACAAGCTGCATTTTGAATGACTGCCAGGGTTAGAAAGTTAAATAAATGACATGACCTAAACCATCTAAACTGGCACAACCATTTCAGTAACGGGTGCAATACATGTGATTAGTTTAGAAACATTTATGTTATGTATCTTTGTGTAGCATACGATTAATTAAATAATCAATCAATGTACATGCAAAAACACAACAAACTAAAAAATATATTGAAATAGAGCATGCTGGGAAATGTAAAAATGATGGGCATGGTGTTGCCATACCAGCTTGACCATTCTGGACCAGCATGGACCAGCTTGAAATTTAGGCTGGTCTATGCTTTTTTCAGCAGGGATAGCAGGATCCCAGTGAGGAGGATATAGGCTAAACTCTCATGCTATCTAGCAGCAAGGTTATTAGGCCCTTGTAAAAACAGAACTGCCATGTTAAATCCAGTTAGCAAAGCAGATACAAACTAATCCAGAGAATCAACAAAACAAAACAAGCTACTAAAAGTAACCTGTCAGAAAAAGAGTGATGGGTAAAAAGAGAGAGAGTACATATTTGAACACAAATGCTAGCCTAGGTAGGACACTTGCTGCCAAATGGCCACCACCAACCACCACTGCAGGCGGGCGGCGGTAGGCGTTTAGGTTACAATGCTTAGACAGCGTCGTGAAGAGGACGTAAAGATGAGAGGAAAAAGCCCCCGTCCACTTAACTGCATGATCCCCTCGGCCAGCTCCGGCACCGCACCCGACTCCAGCTCCATTCTGCCTGATGGCCGCTTGAGTGTGTGTGACTGTGTGTGGGAGTGGACTGAGGGGGCCTGGGTGAGGAGGAGTGCGTTGGTGCTCCTCACCTGGTTAGCTTATATGGGGAAGGTAACGTGAGCCTGGGGAGTGATCTGAGCGGCCGTGGCGAGGGCGCTCTGTGGGGGAAGAGTCGGGTTCCTGACAAACGCTAAACACCACGGTGATAATGGTGACTGCTGGGCCTGCCTACTGTGGCCCTCCTCCCCTCTCTCTCCCTCCACTGCCTCCCCCTACTGCTTCCTCCATCTCCCCTCTCAACTGCCTAGACACTTTCCATGGGCCAGGGGAGGAAGGAGGGAGGGAAAGACGAAGGGAGAGAGAAGGGATGTGTCCTAACACTGACAGGTCCTGAAACTGACAGATCCTGAAACTGACAGATAGCTAACTCTGATGCGACAGGTAATTTGCACACTGCCCCTGACCATAAACAAATTATCACCCTCCTTTCCTCATCTTTTGTCTCTCATGAGCATTGATTGGAATGAACTGGACAAGACAGGACAATTGGTCTCCATTGCATCTCCCATTCAGTCTCTTCCAGCCACATCAGTGATCAAGGAAAGGAAACAAGGGTACAAGGAAAGAAGGCAATATAAGAGAACTGGGACGTAGCCCAAGAGACAGGGAAACTAGGCCTTTGGCCCTAAGCTGGGGGTCAGAGAAAGGATTCTGGGGTCAGTGAGCCAATCAGATCATTCATGCGCTTTTAATCAGAGGGAGAAATATGAGATGGGACAATATACAGGCAGACAGTGGGAGGGAGGGAGATATGAGAGCAATATGCCACTTGACTGTGTGTGTGTGTGTGTGTGTGTGTGTGTGTGTGTGTGTGTGTGTGTGTGTGTGTGTGTGTGTGTGTGTGTGTGTGTGTGTGTGTGTGTGTGTGTGTGTGTGTGTGTGTGTGTGTGTGTGTGTAGGTGATAAAGGACTACGTGCAGAGCAGAGTCCATAAACAATCTCTAAACAGCGAGAGAGAGAAATAGGGAGGAGAATAAAGAGATCGCTAACAATTTTATGATTGATAGAGATATCGGGAGGGGAAGGAGAGTTAGAGGGAGGGATGGAAATAGGGAGGCAAGCGAAGTGTGACTCGTTTTATTGTTCCGTCTCAGATTCCTCAGCTAATTTGAGGAAAAAATGCAAGATGGAGAGATAAAAAAAGGAGTGCCTAGGAAAATATGTCCCTGCTAGGCATCCCAGTTTAGGAAAAATTGGGGAGAAAAGGAAGACACTGAAAAGAAGGGAAATGTGAAAAAAGTAGTTAAAAGTTATTTCGTAGAGCACTTACCTTGCAACTTTAGGTGAGGAGATTATGAATCAGGACACGTCGGTGCAGAAAGAGAGAGAGAGGAAATGCACTTGTGCAAAGAAAACACGTCCATATACACACACACTCTCACACACTCTTCCTGTCTCTGTCTCATGCAGTCATAGCCCAGCCCCCTGGTTTACAGAAAAAAAATGTAACTGCAGAAAAAGGAGAAAAAAAAGTAAAGAGAGAGAAACTAGGGAAACAGACAGACAGTGAGCGTAGGGCTAAACAAAGTATACATAAGTTGTGTGAGAGTGTGAGGGTGCGGCATGAGTGAGACAACATTTGCATAAAAGTTGTGAATGATTTTGTGGCATGAGTATGGTTGACCTGAGTAGTTTGTTTATCTTAATGATACACTATTCAACCATAGGAACCATAGGAATTAGACATCACTTTGCAAGCCAACATAATGTGACTGTTTTAGGGAAAACTAGGCCCTCAAAATAAGGCCTTATGATATATGTAAATAATGAAGCACTTTGATGATGGTTTTGCTGGTCACCATCAAAAACAAAGTGAAGGCACCAGCAAAAACACAGTGAAGGCACCAGCAAAAACACAGCAGGACACCAGCAAAATCACAGCAGGGAACCAGCAAAATCACAGCAGGGCAACCACATCATAGCAACATAACCAAACCAACCAGTATTACTCATCTATGGTCTCTCCCATAGACACACCTTGTGTGGGGATCACTCACCTGGCTGACTGCCCAACCAGACCATTGTATAATGACATGGCCTTCCACACAGTGACATCAGCCTGGAAATGATTAGTTCTCTACAGGGCGCTAATTATGACCCTTGGGGATTCCCTACGTATAGAGTTGGCTCGACCAATGTAAATATTTCTTGAAACTCATGTTTCTACTTCTTATTTGGGGAACTGATTGTCAGGAGTAGTGTCCAGCAAACCCCATCATTTGAATCTTCTTCCCCAAAGTATGTTTTCTTGTAGTCAGTCTGGACAATGGTGTCTCGTCTTTAATGGCCATTTCAGAATACCCATACCGGTGTCCTAAATTGTTGGCCGTTTGAGTATGCGAAAAAATTTCAAAAATCGAGTATAGGCCAGCTTTAAATGCCTGGATGTCATACTCTTTTCGGCTTTGACAACAGCTGATGAATTAGATTTGGGTATGCACTCCCGAAATCAACGAATAGCGGGAAACAACGCAGTCACGCATTACACATTCTCAGTATTGTCAAAGTTGCGTCAATTCAAATCTGGTATTAGGAACAAAAGAGGTCAACACGACTTCTAAGATATACTAGTTATTTTAATTAATGCAAAAACCTTCAATGGTAAATATGATGTTTCGTATATACGGGCTCTTTGAAATACCTCGCAGGGCACTTCAGAGAACTAATCCATTGTTCTAGGTTCTTGCTCAAATACTCTGACAGAGAGAGTTTCCCACCTCTCTGCTGGCCAATTAGAGTAGAGACTTGAGCGTGGTTTAGACTTACTCAGCCTATCCGTTGGCGCACAGGCTAGTCCCCCGCCTCTTAGCGCATCCCTGTTTCCAGGCATACGTTCATCATAACAACCTGTCATAGTGAGAAGAGCCAGCTCCCTTAGACACCATTCCTACGTCCAAGGATGGTTCACAGATCACAAAGAACCAGTATTGTCTAGCATTTGGAGACACAAATCCTTATCTCATTTTACCCCCTAAAACAGCTCTTCACATCAATCACAGCCTGCCAGGTGACACAACCTACATTAGCCCAGTCAAGAATGCATTCTTTCTAAGTTAGTCATCCCATCAATTATGAAAATAATAAATCCCCAATAATCCCCCTTTTCACACCTACTAGGGTGTGATTAAAAAAATAAGAAAACACAGGGTGTCATTCATTATAATACAATACAAACAAAAAGAATCACACTTTTATTAACAGGCCATAATGATCCTAAAAAATAAAAACCCTCAGTCCATCTACACCCAACTTGCAAATAGTTACCAGTCATCAAAGAACATCAAACCATAAAACACAGGATTAATAGAACACAAAACATAGGTCCTCTGTAGCTCAGCTGGTAGAGCACGGCGCTTGTAACGCCAAGGTAGTGGGTTCGATCCCCGGGACCACCCATACACAAAAATGTATGCACGCATGACTGTAAGTCGCTTTGGATAAAAGCGTCTGCTAAATGGCTTATTATTATTAAAACATAAAACACAAACAGAGAAGTACATTTTGACTCCCTTTTGACACCCTCTAGGGAGTGATTCCAAAATGTGAAAGGGAAAAATTTAAGATTCCCTCTTGTTTGACACCTTTATGGTGTCACTCCAAATAACAGTTTTGAACAGAAATAAACAACCCTGAGTATAACAGATATGGAAAATTAAATCACATCAAAAAAATTTAATAAACGAAAAATAATATTTTAACCCTCTATTTCCCCCTACACCTAACATGTACTGAGTTGGCTACCAGCCACCCAGGAATCCTTTACCTTCACCTCAGGAGGAATAAACAATCACAGTGGTTAGTAAAAACACAAGGTAATAAATGAGCAAGAACTAAAAAAAAGGGGGGTTTTTATTAAACCCCCCCCCACCCCCCCCCCCCTTTTTAAAAAACCCGTCACCCAAACCCCCCCTGGAAATAAACCACCCCCAAAAAAGAACACCCCCCAAAAAACCCACAAAAAAGGCCTTGGGCCTTTTACCCCCCCAAAAAAAATTTTTTTTCCCCTTTCCCCCCAAAAAAACCCCTTTCCCAAAAAAGAAGCCTTTTTTTTTCCCCCTTTAAAAAACCCCCCCCCCTTTAACCCAAATTTTTAAAAATTTGGAAAAAAAATAAACCTTTAACAATTTTTTGGGGAAAAAACCCCCCAAAAACCCCAACCTTTTACCCCAAAAAACCCCCCCCCCAAAAAAAAAAAAAAGGGCCCCCCCCTTTCTGTTTATTAAACCCAAAGGGGCTTGAACCCAAAAGGGTTTAAAAAACCCCCCCTTTTATTTTTTTTGGTGGGGAAAAACCCCCTTTTTTTTAAATAAAAAAAAATTTTTTTACATTTTCCCCTTTTTTCCCCGTAAAAAATTTAAAACCCTCTGTTCCCAAAAGGCCCCAAATAACCGGTTTTTTCCCCCAAAAAAAAAAAAACCAGTAAAATTTAAAAAATTTTTTAATTTTTTTTTTAAAAAAATTTTGGGGCCCCCCCCGGGGAAAATCCCCGGGCCCAAACTGGTATTATAAGAGAAAATTTTTTTCCCTTTTTTTTCTAAAAAAATGGTCCATCAACTTTCCAGGTGTGGAGAGTACCCCCCCAAATTGGGGGGCCAAGCCCTTTCCCCCCCCTCTCCCACTGTTTGGGGACAAAAATGTAACACAAAAAATAAAAAAAAAAACCCTTTAGGGTGAAATCCGTAAAATAAAATTTAGAAACACCCAAAAACCCCCCCCCCTCCCCCTCCACCTTTTTTTTTCCCGCGCCTTACCCCAACTGGGGTTTGGTTCTCCCCCGCCCCGGGAAATTTTAAAAAAGCACATTTTCCCCAAAAAATTTAAACCCCCCTTTTACAACGTATTTCATTTTCCCCCCCTAAGGGGGCCCAGTTTTTCCAAACCATGGGGCATCTTTATTCCCAACCTTTGGGGTTTAAAAAAATTTAATTTATCCCCTTTTTAGAGCATTTGACCCTTTGTTTGGAAACCCCAAAACCCCCCGGATCCTAACAATTCCCCCAGCCACCCCCGGTTTGATGGATTCCCTCCTTGCCAGGGGGCCCTTCCCCCCCCCTTCTTTCTTTGGGGTTTACTGGGCGATCCCCAAAATTTCCCCAAAAAACCCCCCAATGGTAAAATAAAACCAAATGCACCTCCCCCCCCCCCCCTTTTCCTTTTGTTTTTTTTTTGGTGCCTCCACCCCCCTAGCCCCCCTTTTCGGGTTTTCCCCATTGGCCAAGGGGTTTTCATATTACTTCAAAAGCCCCCCCCTGGGGGCCTCAAAAAAACCCCTTCCTTTTCCATAAGCAATTTTTAAAAAAACCCCCCGGGTGTTTTTTGGGGCCTAAAAAAAAATCAAATTGGTTTGCCGGTTTTTTGGGGCCATTCCTCCAAAATTTTGCCTCCCTTCTAAAACGTGGGGGGGTTTCCAACCCACTTTGAAGTACCTCCCTCCAGTGTCCTAGGTCCCCTTGACCCAAACCCCCCCCTTAAAATTTTCGCCCCAAATTTCCGGGGGTTTCCTTTTAATTTTTTTCACCCCGGGTTTGTCCTTGTATTAAGTTTTTTCCTTTTTTGTTTTCCCGGGGGCTGTCTCCCCCTGCATTTTGGGGTGTGAAAAGGTTGAACCCCCTTTCCCGGTCCGACTTGGAAAATTTTCCCCCTTTAAGTTTTTTTGTGTAGTTTTTCACCCCTTCTCCCCCCTTTTGGAACCCACGAAAAAGGTTTTGGTCCCAAAACTTGGTACCCTCCCCCCAAGGGTGTTTGTTTTCCCCTTGGTTTCCCTCCCATTTTACCTTCTTTCCGGGGTTTTTTTTTAAAATTTTCCTTTGGTTTTTTAAAACCCCCCTTTTTGGGGCCCTTTCCCTTGCCTTTTGGTTTGGGGTCGGGGGGTTTTTTTGGGGGGGGGGGGCCTGGGGTTCCTGTTTATGGGTTTTTTTCTTGTTACCAATCCTTTTTTGATCAGGTTTTTTTTTCCCCTTTCTTTGCCTGTGTTTTGGTCCCCCTTCTTTTTTTAAACCCTAAGGGGTTTTGTTTTTCCTGAAAAGTTTCCCCCGGTTATTTTTTTCCCTTTTTTTTTCCCCCTCCCCGGTGTTTTTTGTTTGTTTTTTTTTGGGGTTTTCCCCCCTTTTTGTTTTTAAAAGAAAAAAGGTCCGATGTGTTTTTTTTGTTTTTTTTCCTAGGTATTTTTGGGGTGGTTTTTGTCTTAACTAGGGTCGTTTTTTTTCCCCAGGTTTTTCTTTAATTGGGGGGTGGGGCCCTTTTTCAGTTTTTCCGGAGTTTGCCTTTTTTTTTAGGGTTTTAGTTTTTTTCGATTTGTTGGGGGTTATTCCCCCAAAGGGTTTTTTTCCCCCCTTTTTTTGTTTTTTTTAAAGGGTTTTGTTGTGGAAGGGAATTGGGGCCCCCAAATTAAAAGGGTTTTGGGTTTTTTAATTTGGTTTTTTTGGGGGGTTTTTTTTTTTTGTGAAGGGTCCCCTTTAAAGGATTTTTTTTTTTTTTTGTTTTCCCAGCCCTTTTTTAGAAATGTTTTTTTTTGTTCTTTTTAATTTT